TCTTCACCTCTTAGTCGCTTTTCATCTTGTGTTTGTTCTATTTTCCTTTTTTTTTTTTAACAGGAGACGCGTGACGGGATGGGGGTTTGGGTGGGGGTTCAGCGGGGGTCCTTTCCCGTTTTCTTTTTTTTTTTTCCCCCCCCTTTTCCAAAGCCCCCGCCCCCCCCCCCCCCCCCCCCCCTATACTTTTTGACCAGTCCCTTAGGTTCGCTTTAAATGATCAGGAGTACAGCCTCAAGTCAGTTTCGCGTGTTAGATTGTAGTCATTGATCGAAGTCCCTGATTTCCCCTACCATACCGACGAGGCCGATTTCTCTTTGTCTTCATTGACACCATATTATTTCAGGAAATTTATTCCTCTTTTGCCAAAAAAAAAGAAATTTAAGTACACCAAAAGCTGCCTCTTACAGTTTTCACGAAATGAAGTGCCCGCAAAGACTGAGATAAATAACGATGAAATAATTTTCCATAATACTTTATCAATAAGATATATGCTTCATTGCTGTAAGCCAGCTTTCTGTGTAATTTACACTATGGCTCTTTTTCGTTTTTTTTAGTATCGGGCAGTGGTTGGAGTCCTGCGAGTCCCCAACGAAGTTTTTCTGCTTATGTCATTTGCCTCACTTTTCCTTAACAACATCTTTAAGAAGCTTTTTAACCTTCATTAGGTCATGCGAATTTTGACTTCAAACAATCCATCGCTTCTATTCTAAGAGGTATTATTTAAGATAATTGTTACACGGTCCACTTGATCACAAGCTATTGTGTTGGTATGCCCACAGATATGAATAATCTCGTAGGATTAATGAGGGAAACAGCTTCTTGTCTTTCAGTAATTTCGTTCAGGCTGATAGTTCACTCGATCCTGTAAGTTTTGAGGAAGCAGGGAGTTTTTACGCGAGATCTGGCCACGGCCTTGTAATCCCACCGGCTTGTGGTGTCTGTGCAGTGGCCGGCATTACTTTGCCAAAATCGTACTTATATTTGCCGAATTCCTGGCCAGACAAAGGGTTTTGCATACAAATCAAGAGTTGTTACTGTGGTAAGTTACTGAGTTTCTTTAATCTTGGATGCGAGTAATACTCGGAATGTAAAATACTTTCCCCAGCGAATGCCCCCTTTTTCGCAGTTTTGCAGTTCTCACGATAAATTTACTAGGTAGGTAAAGGTTGAAGATCATGCAGTGGAGCGTCACTAATCAGTGAATCAGTTAAAGCTGTTGAATATCTTTTGGATCAATGAGTAAAACAGAATTGTGAATTCGGATCCGCTTAAATTATGTTAACTTAGAAAGGAACTACTTTCTCGTGTTTATTTCTATTTTCACCGCATGTGATAATATCAAGACTACTTGCCGTTGGTCGAAATAAGATTATGATCAGCTATTGCAGACCGACAGTACGTGGAATTCTTTGTCTCTGTAAACTGTTTGTTGTTCATGGACTTTTCAAAGGTGGTTCAAACTTTTAGGCATTGAACTTAAATTACCCTTACTGACAAAAATTATTTTGATTGTAGAGTGCCCCTCTGCAACTCGCTCTTTCGTGTCTGCTAAGTCCTTTCTTAAAAGACTGAAAATCTTGTTGATTTACCTTTGTAAACTTAACTGAAAAGAGAAGAAGATTCGCTTTGTTGTTTTATCAAAACCCCGCAAGTCTTCATTCAAAAAATATTTCTCTGTTTGTGTCATCAAAGAGGTGGTATTTTCGTAAGCATTAGGCATCATCTTTGGCCCGTAAACGTCGTGTGGACGGTGATGCTAAAACAAGGCCAAACTCAATTTTTCCATTCATGATCAGTATAATATACATTAGAATAGAGTGGCGGCATCGGGTTTATTTTATTTTTGCTTTGTTTTAGACAGCAGCTATTTCATTCAATTAATTTAAATTCGACGTCTGAAAACCGTCTACAGTCTTGGTAAGAGCAGTGCTACAGTCGAACTAGCTAAGCACGGAGTAGCATTATGTTTGAAACGCGTTCGAAAGGGGCGGCCCGTTTCGAACGCGTTTCAAAAATAATGCCACCCAGTACATTGAATGTACTGGGTGGCACTTCTAACGTTCTTCTACAATCGCTTTCATGGCCACTTCCTATAGAGAAAGAAATATTCAAGGGAAACTATAACACACTGAGTATTTCTTTTCATATTGAAACAAAAGGTTCATGGAGACCAAACCAGCTGATCCAAAGGAATTCCAGAAATATGGACCAGGGAACAGTCAACAGGAAAGTCCCAGAAAAGCAACAATATCGTGGAACCCTTGTCCATGTAAAGCAAAGTGTTTTATTTCAGCACGTTACTTGGTTGGTGTGTTTTTAATGTTTGGATACGCAAATCTCTACGCTCTACGCGTCAACCTTAGCATGGCTCTAGCGGTCATGGTTGGCAATCACACAGTCTTCAGAGACAATAGGGAAATACAGGTAAATCTGTGTTCTTTGTTTTTTGGGAAAATGTAAATCGCTCCTGGCGGCTAGCATATATAGCATAACAATTTGTTGGACAATACTCGTAAAATATCGCGCCTTAGGACACCCTCATACATGTGCGGGGTGCTAAAGAAGTAGTGGGGGCGAGGGGGAGAGGGTGGGGGGGAGGGTCGAGGGAACGAGAGTGCTATCTTATAATTCCAAGGATTCAAAAAATCTGAAATAGGCTCATTGGCAATTCTTTTGAATTATCATTTGCGATAAGAAAACAGTAAAGAAGTGAATAGTAAAACTGGTCACATCTTAAATCAGGAGATACGAAAAGCATGTAGTCTCCCATATTTAGTACCTTTGGTGTCGCATTTATCAAAAGGTAAGAACTTTATTTTAGCACGATAAAAAGATCAGCATTGCTGGTGGGGTCTTGCATACAACAATTACAAGAGAAATAAGGAGTGCTGAAAGCAAATGTACGATTATAAATTAAAAACTGTTAAAAATGTTTGTAACCGATATTTCAGTTTTTAGTTGTAGCTAAAATAGGTTGTAAAAATGCACAATTGAAAATTAAAACTGTTAAAAGTATTCGGAACCGTTATCTCTATTTTTAGTTGTAGCTAAGTTGGGTTCGAAATTCATTTTATCAGTATCAAATTTTACAAGACGGCGTTTAAATTCCTTCAAGGTTTTAGCCCTCGTTTCCTTGTCCGTTAAAGTGTTCCATGCGATTGCTCCTCTAAAGCTTATGGAGTTCCTGATAAAATTTGTTTCTGGTCTTGGAAGATGATGTTCTCATTTCTTCTGCGGCCTGAATTCCTCTGTAGAGACAAACCTTTAAATTCCGTGACGGTGTAACCTTTTAAACAATCAATCGGCTCAGCTCAGTGAAAACCCTTTCTACCTAACTAAAAAATCTTGCTTTGTCTTCTTTTACTTATCACTAGAAAACTGCGGAGTTTTCATGGAACACCAAGCTGCAAGGTGAGATAGTCGTAACTTGTGTATCCCTCTTGACTCCTCTCTGTCGTTCTGATAGCCCTCAGGAAAAGGTCGGTTTCATCTGTGAAAATTGTTTTAATGTGTACATGGCATTTTACTTTTCTTTAATCCTCTAGGAATCGTGCTGAGCTCCTTCTATTTTGGCTACATAGTAATGCACATACCAGGAGGATATTTGGCGCGAAAATTTGGAGGCGCCACGGTTATTGGGTTGTCTGTGGGTGGCACAGGCGCCTTGACCCTTTTTACTCCTCTAGCTGCCCGGCTTCATGTTGGACTTTTGATTGCGCTGAGGGTAGCTGTAGGGCTGGCTGAGGTAAAAAGAGAGTTCTTTGTATTTGTTATATTTAATTATAACGTGATTGGTCTGATTGGTCAATTACCCATTAACTATTTTGTCCATGGGTGAAAGGTGACGATTGCTAGCCCGCGCTCAAAGCTGTACGCGTCACTTTCTACGCGACTATATATTTTTTTAACCTCTAGGTTTGCAGAGATTTTTGTCTTGATATTGAGAGAAAGTTTACAAACACTGTTAACGAAAGCGTTAACGTCATCGCCTCGTGCTACTCTTACGCTTCTTTCGTGCTTAGCAACATCCCGCGTGCAACTTGAACTCAAAAGTACACCGCACTGAGCCGTTTACCATTTATTACGGTTGTAGGATACTTGGGTTTTATTATTAAAGATTAATTATACAGCCAACTTTATCCTTTCGGACACTCCAAAAATACAGACAGGATCTAAATCCTGGGCCAAAAATATATTAAAGACTTTTGACTCAAATAAGTCCCCTCTTTTAGGACTCTCGATAACGAGGACAATAACTCAATATCTCTACAGTGTCCGGTATAAAGCGAGTTAACTGTATTTTTCACCCCGTGATTTACACCTTCCTTGGCTGTTTCTCAGTTTTAGATAAGATGATATATTGCAGGTATACTGGCAGCAGACAGGAGCTTGTCTTAAAGTCGAATGTCTAATGTTTCCTCTCGAAGCCAGGGCCAAAGGCCCGAGCGTAGAGAGGTTTAAATATTTGTTGACATTCGCATCGCGCAAGGATGGCTTATGGAGGTTGAATCACGATTCGTATTGATACTTGTGATTTCGGGCTCCTGGCAATGAACGTATTTGGCGCTTTCCCTCAGATTCGCAGGGTTGAATTTACTTTTACGTGTCACTTCATAGGTTATTTGACCATAATATGAATTGTTTTAAACCATTTAAGACCAAGTTCCACGAGACAAAAATAAATTCTAGTTTTTATCGAAAGTAAAAGCATTTGCTTTATTTAATGTTCCCTTTCAGGGCTCTGCATTTCCAGCCGGTCACGCCTTCTGGAGTCTATGGGCACCTCCCTTAGAGAGAAGTAAGCTCGGGGTTTTCAATTTTGCAGGTAATTTTTTCTTACAAAATTGAGAAGATTTGTTGTTTGCCAGTTTTCTTTACGAACGTTGAAGGTATAAAAATAAGAATTGGGAAAAAAAGACGCATCTTATAACGAAAAACAATGCCTGCACTTATTGAAATATCACAAACAGTAATAGAACTCTTTTGATGCACATTAACAGAGCTTTAACAATAAAGTCAAATCTCCGCCTCTCACGAGCACCTCTATAAGTCTCGCCCCATGAAAGAACCCAAGACATTATTGGATTCTGGATTCAACGCCGTGGATTCCAGATTCCAGGTACTGCATTCCATTCGTTGTCAGCAGAACTTGGATTCTGGATTCCAATCGTCAGTCGGAATTCGGATTCCTTGAGCTGTATTCCGGATACCAAAGCCTAGGATTCCGGATTTCACAAGCAAAATTTTCCCTGATTCCGAAGTCCGGATTCCCTTACATGGGGCGAGAAGTCCTCCCTTAATCGGACACAAACAGCTATTCCCTGCTGCTCTTTAATTCGGTCATTTTCTGAAACTCCCTAATAACAATTGGGACACATCTCCACTTAGTAACACTACCTGAAGTATCTGTCCTAGAGAAAGAAGGCTGTATTTAACTTTGAGGTAAGTCGGGAAAAAAAAAGACATTTTGCGTGCGCAAAGCTATCAAGTACGCTTTCAAAGTTTTGTATTAATGACTAACAATTCCCTGTATATTTTGTTTATGTAGGAGCAAAATTAGGAACAATCGTCTCCATGTTTTGTTCAGGATATCTTGCATTTCATTATGGCTGGCCGTCAATATTCTATGTGTTTGGTACGTATATAGATTACATATCTTAAATGACCTACAGCCTCTTTGAGGGCGCCCCACAACCATTTTACTGATGTTGCTGTTTTGCATCGATATTGTTACAAACATTCCATGAATAATCCTCGTTCTGTAAAATAACAATGCGAAACATTTTCGGTTCTACCAAAAGTAAAAACGGGCAAACGCCAAAGCTCCGATTAAATCGGATGGACTCTGGACTCGTGTGTATTGAAAAACCCATGCAGACAGAGGGCAACCTCGTTCCCAGGGATTTTTTCCAAGGAAAAAGCCCTGGGAACAAGGTTGAGAAAGAGGGCTCAGGGTCAATTTAGGGTAAGCTCTACGGGCTCCTGATGGCCTTTTTCCTTTATCTCGTATCAGGCACCAGTGGTGTTATATGGTCCCTGGTTTGGCTTGCAGTGGTAAGAAATTCACCTTCCCAGCAAAGCTGGATTACTTCAGAAGAAGTAGAATATATTGAACTGAGCTTAGCAGCGGACATTCAAGATAAGGTATGATTGACTTAGAAAACAAACATCGACAGTTTTAAGACCTAGAGTTTTTAAATATGGTGATTACAATACTCCAAGAAACTAATGATACTGCGATCTTGGATAAAACTGATGAGCTTTTCACATGCAGATTACCACCCCTCCCAAATCAATATAGTTTCTGCGTCTCGTAACGGTTACTTTCGCCACGGTATCAGAATCATTTCTTGCTTTCGTAAAATTGTTTAAGCTATTACATTACTGAAACCGTTTGCATCCACAGCGTGTCATTTTCTCAAGAATTTTTATGCAAGGGTTGATTGAAATAACTGCAAATAAATTCGGATTGATAGGAAACAAGGTACTACGAAAAAGGATGAATATATTTTAAAGAATTCTTACTGGTCACCAATGACCTTTTGTTGAGTAAGTTAGACGTACACAGAAGCATTTTAGTGGTTCCTCAAAACCTATCATGCAACCTAGTCCCCAGGTCTCTCTCATTTTCTAAAATAAAAAGCTTTGGGGACGTAATTACCCAGTTACACAACTTTAGAGGAACTGTTTTCTTGTTGACTGTTGCATGTTTAACCTTTGTTTATGAACATCCTCAGCATACTTCTATTCCATGGAAAGCAATCTTCAGCTCACTTCCTTTGTGGGCCATAGTGGTGGCTCATTTCACACAAGGATGGGGACTATATACCATGTTATCAGAGCTACCCCTGTTTTACACGCAACGGTTAAATTTAGATCTTAAGGAGGTATGTTGCTTTGAGTATCCCTTTAGAAATTTTGGGATCTGGGGTTAATTTGTTTGTTTGTTTGTTTTTTTACGGGAGCGAAATTCGGAAATGGAACCATGGTCGAGACGAGGGGGATAGTCCATCCTGTAAGCGATGCCTTGCACTTTTGGTTACGTCAGTTTCGCTGACGTTGCCTCCCAAGACGAAGACGTTCTTTACGTTCATCCCCGTGGCAAAGCCTTAAGAATGTATTCGTGGGAGGCTAATCTGGACCCTGTTTAAGATACTTTGGTGAAAGGTAAATTCAGCCTATAAAAACGTTGGGGTTACGTGATTGAACCGATTAGTTATTTATCTTTATAACTGTATTTCTCTCTTCAGACGTCGCTCGCATCGTCTATACCTTACGTCGTTACGTTCTTTGTAATGATAATCGGAGCACAGCTGGCGGATTATTTACGCAAACATTATCTCAGTACAGGAACAGTGAGGAAAATGTTCAACACAATAGGTAATCTTGTCGTGTTTTCCTTACTCACCAATGATATATATTAAACACTTACTGACTGGTCCCTCGGGAAACAGTTAATTTTGTTTCCCTCGAATCTCTATGTTTAGCCTCGGGGAACATTGAGATTCTCTGGAAACAAAATTAACTGTTTCCTGAGGGACCAGTCTTAAAGTGATTTGTTATACAGCTGGAAATTTTGAAGCTGAAAATTCATTAAACCTCGCTGTAAAAGCGGTCGTCAACATTCGAGGGTAAAAGTGCACCGTTATCCTCTGACACTAGTTGTATACCCACTTATACATTGCGTATTCACTTTTTAGCAGCTGCGGGAGCGCGGGACTGCAGAAGCATGCCTACTTATAATTACTTAGATTGAAGTAATCGTTGTCATAGAACACGACTGCGGGATTACAGGAGCAGTTTGTCAAGTAAGAGATTTAGAGGGCCGCGTATTCTGCGATCACTCCCATCATTGAAATCGGAAATCAACATCAAATCGGACAATGAAAATCAAATTAACAATTTGACTTGACTATCGGAGATCAAACGTCAAAATCGGACATCAGACATAAAAATAGACATAAAATCGGGCATAAAACAAGACATGAAATTGGACATCAAATCGGACAAAAAAATCGACAAAAAATCGGACAAGAAATCAAACACGTCACAAAATCGGACAAAAAGGTCAGACAAAAAAAGTCGGTCAAAACGAGTCGGACAAAAAAATCGAACAAAAAATCGGACAAGAAAGTCGGACAAAAATGCCGGCCAAAAAGGTCGGACTAAAAGGAAGGACAAAAAAGTCGGACAAAAAGTGGGACAAAAAGGTCGGAAAAAATAGGCGGACAAAAAATTGGACAAAAACGTCGGACAAAAAAGTCGGACAAAAAAAATCGGACAAAAAAGTCGCACAAAAAAAAGACGGACAAAAAGGTCGGACGAAAAAGTCGGACAAAATTTAGGAAAAAAAGGCGGAAAAAACGTCGGACAAAAAGGCCGGACAAAAAATCGGCAGATAAAGTAGGACGAAAAAATCGGAAAAAAAGTCGGGCAAAAAAACGGACAGAAAAACTGGAAAAAAAATTGGACAAAAAAGCGGACAAGAAATCGGACAAAAAAATCGAACAAATAATCGGACAAGAAATCGAAGAAGAAATTGGACATATAATGGGACAAGAAATCAGGAAAAAACATCGGACATAAAATCGGACAAAAAGTCGGATTACAATATCGGAAAAGAAATCGGACTAGAATATCGGTCTCCTGACTTGCCAGCATGATAACATAAAAAATGGAACAAAATTAATCTTTTAAAGAAGAACAACAAACAATCAGTATTTGCGATAGCGTTGCAAGTTGCATTATCAACCTTTTTAAAACCGTTTCCTGTTTTTCAAACAAAGAATTATGCACTCGTAAAGTTTCCAGATGTAATACGGGAAATATGTTTGTCATTTATTCTGTGGAGGTTGAGGTGTTTTAAAATAAATAGTAAAAGCATAACTTACAAAAACTAGCGTAATTATTGGCATAATTTTACAAATATACCAGCACTGCGAGTAGCATATTCAGTGCTACTTTTGCGAGCACGGTCTATCAAAGCCCTGTCTGACAATTTTCATAACCGTTCCGCTCTTTTAACTTTAAATATGAATAAAATTGTAATGATACATTTGACAAGTACACTAATGGTTGTGCGCATGCGTAAGGTACTGGCCATACCGCGGAGTTGGTACGTGTGCTTCAGTGCTGATAATTGGCATTCTTATAGCGCAACAGCGAGCGCTCTCATTGGTTACTTCAAGGTCACTTGACATCTCACAATGAAACTTTTTCCCGCCAAAATCTCTAAGCGGGCAACCCTGCAAAATCCATAACGTCAAATAAACTGGTAACAGTGCACTGTTACCCGCCGTTGCAGAGAGGTTTAATGAATTTCCAGCTGTATAACAAATCACCACCTCGGGAAAAATTGGGATTCTCGGGAAACAAAATTAACTGTTTCCCAATCAGGTTTCCCTTAGGACCGGTCATTTTGTGTTAAATCATAATCTTATCATAGTCTGTCGTTTTTTGTTAGGTTTTCTTTCGCCAGCTGTCTGTCTCTTTGTAGCAAGTTCTACAAACAATCCTAGCGTCGTTGTGGCTTCAATCACTCTAGGGGTGGGGCTTAACGGATTGTGCCTGAGTGGATTCGCTGTTAATCATCTCGACATCGCACCACCCTTTGCCAGTATACTCCTTGGAGTAACCGATGTTGGTGCAACATTGGCAGGAATTATAACACCAACCCTGACGGGATTCATAGTCAGACATCACGTAAGGTTTATTTCTAAAACTGGTTATTTTACAGTTACGGGTACAAACGATGTTGAAGTTGACCTTGTTTTGGTACAACCCTAATTCCTCCTTTAGAGCGGTTTTCATTTGAGTGTCGAAAAGTAATTGGTTTTGCATTTTCTACACGATGCGATTGGCTTAAAAGATTCGCGCCACCTTTTCATCCAATCAGAAGTAAAACCAAAGCCAATTGTGACGCGCTTTTGCGTCAGCCACATGTAATTACTTCGAGTTTTGATTGGTTCAATGTATTGTCTGTGTCCTATGTGATTGGCCAGAGTAATTACTTTGGTTTTGGTTTTACGACACTCAAACGAAAACCACTCTATTATGTAAATCAATTTTTTGGTAGCATGATTTTCATAAGAATAGGAAAGAGGTTGGTATCAAATCAACGTCAATCTCTGCCTCAAATTCACTCAGAGAAGTGGGTACTAAGCTCATGACTCTAAAATGGTCGATTACTGTTCTATGACACTCAAAAGTGACCCCCCAGCCTGTTAGTCAATGCCAAGCACAAACTAAGCATTTCATCTCCAGAAAATCAACAACAACCACCCTTCACACAAAGTAACGACAAAAATTTTTTATGGCATTAGTTATAACGCATCTTTTAATTTGTTTGGCCGGTTTGTTTTCCTTAAGCTATTCCTTTGCACACACCGTCACCGGGGTGGGGGGGTGGGGGGGGGGAGGGGGTTAAGGGCTATCGTGTGACAAACTTTGGTCCAAACTTTGATTCAAATATTAGAAATAAGATGTTTTGCTTCATTTTTTTATTCCAACAGACGGACTTAGAGTGGAAGATAGTTTTCATAATCAGTGGAGTAATTTATCTACTGGGAGCTATATTTTACACAGTGTTCAGTTCAGGGGAAAAGCAGCCATGGTCCTCAGATAGAAAATATAGCAATCTGAGACAACATGATTCAGATTGTGAATGAATTGATACTGCATAATATTAATTTATTTATTATTTAACGGTTTATTTATTAAGATCTTTATTGTTATTTACTACTTTTGTGAATATTAATTAAACTGCAAAAAGACAGCGCAGAGATCATAAGGTCATTTATACGAAGTTTTTCTCGTCTCAGCTAAGACGCGTCTTATCTAAGAACAGGTGTTAAGGACTGTTCTAAAATAAGACGCGTCTTAGCTAAGTCGCGTCTTATTTCAGACGAAATGTGCCGTTTATACGCAAAGTTCGCGTCCTATTTTTCCTCGTATATTCACCTCAGTGTCGGTGGCTCCGTAGTGGTGGATGTTTACTGAGGCCTCTAAAAATCTTGAAGGCATTTGTTTAGCTCTTGCCGGGAAATTTCTTCAAAAGGAGTTGTGAATTTTTTTTGTATATAAAATCATTCTGTAAAAAAGATTATTAAATTTAGTTTTAAGCTTATTCCCAAGTCAACTAAATAAAGTAACGCAAGACTTCGGCTTAATTTGCATTTGTAAACAAAAAACTTTTTCATCGGTTTTATCGATAAATTCAAGTCAAAAAGACACAGCTTTACCTGTTAAAACTTCCAAACCGAACCTCGTCACCTTCTTTGTGTATTTCGGGAACAGCTTGCTCGATTAGTTGTGAAATTTCTTTGTTTGCTACGGCAGCAAACCGGGAAGGCATTTTGCTCGCAACTTACGCGAGTTTGCCGTCGCTCGCTCGGAGGAACTGGAGGTGAATCAGTGAATCGTGCAGGATCATGCACTGATTAAGTAGCTAACCAGAGCGTGCGAAAAACACTATTAGAAATACTCATCAGACATTAATGAACTTTCTACAATCAAAATTTAAATTTCACCATGATGACTCACCATTAATTTTTTTGGTTTACGGTCTCTGTCTCCATCTTAAAAGTATATTTCGGTTTCGTAAAGGCTTCGTTACTTTTACTGGAATTTCGCTCAGGAGACACATGCGAAAAAGAAAGAAAATAACCAACGAAATTTTCTTTCTCGAAAACTAGTTGGTGTTTGTACACCCATGTAAATAATTAAATGGAATAACGAGAATAAAAAACCTGCAATAAAAAATAAGGTGTAATGCATAAAATAGTCAAAACGAGCGTTGTAAGTGGTCGTTTATAATGATTTTTTCTATGGAATATATTAGTGCTAGCAAATTTATTAATTTCTAAAATAATTTTTGTCCGAAATAATAATAACAACCAAAACAACATGAAATTACTTATTTATGGTCAGTTCGTGAAAAAAAAATCTCATCGGCTAAGACTTGAGAAATGCAATTTTCGGGAAAAAAGGGCAGAAAACAACTGAAGGAAGTACAGACATAAATGAATGAAAATTTATCACGAAATTTGCAAGAACACGTTTTTTCTTTTCTTTTTTTTTTCGACGCTGTGATCAGAAACAGTTCAAACATTTTTTGAGGATGTTCTTCAAGGTTACGTACTGCTATCCGTTTTGCGTTACGTTAACGAAGTCGCTTAAAGAAATAAATAGCAAGAATAAATCAAGTCAGTCTATAACATATGATACAGGCTAAATATCGAGGCTCGTTTGCGATTTTATCCTTCGGCTTGGTAACGCATGATATTTGAAACAAAGGAAAATAATTTTTGAACAAAGGATAAAAGTCAGTGGACCACAACATAAATTCGACTTTATACTTTGTGATCATGACAAATGTCGATGACCGGGTGGTGCTGATAAAATGTATTTAAATTTTTTTACATTTTCAAACGATTCAAAAATAAAGGAAGGAATTAAAATTCAGTCCAATATGGTTGAAACATTCTGGCCATTTTTTTTAATTATGGAACATTTGAGTGTTTCGTTTCCGTGCTAGAAATAAGTCAGATGACCTACCAAAGCGTTGCTTTCACGTGAGCAAGCAGTAAAACTTCACGCGCCCTTTTATAACCTCTCATTAACCAGAACCAATGAATTTTCAGCCATTTAATATCACCTACCGAATTATGTACTTTGTTTTGCATTACTCATGATCAACAACCTATCACGCGCGGCCAATTTATTTTGTGGCTAGGAGAAAACGCGATATTATAAGCTTCTGGCTTCACCAATTTTTCTTTCTTTATCGCCATTAACTGCCGTTTAAAATTAATGCAGAAGTCAGTAAAATCGCCGTCTTCCGGCACCATATTAGACTGAAGGGGCTAGCCTGGAAATCACCCAACAAGAGCAGCAGTCTTGTTTAACCTCAAACGTTTACAATGCCTCTCACAGCACATGCTTTGATCTACCTGCTTGGGTGTACTGTAACGTTTTTCGTATTTTGTCTTTTAATTCCGGTATTGCTCATTGTGGTAGCCATTTTAAAGTCGGCGAGATTCGTCGTCGAGCGTTACACATCGTACTCTCGGAGTTGCATTCCTTTGTGTGAAGATGACGCAGTATGGCAGCAAGATCGTCCAACAAATCGCCACATAATTCACGCCTTGATGGTTTTAGAAGGAGCACCCGACATCGAGAAACTCCGACAAATAATTCTTGATCGTCTGGTCTTCAGAAAAGATGAAAATGGGGAACGGATTTACCCAAGACTTACACAGCGAATTTATAAACGTTTAGGGTGTTTCTTTTGGATGGAAGATGAAAAATTTGATGTGTTAAAACACGTATTTACTTGGGAGGGTACTCTACCAAAGTCCTTGGAAGAGCTAGATGTTGCAATTTCTGAAATTTGCTCGACTTCTTTGCCAAACAAACTTTCCCCATGGCAGTTCATAATTGTTCCGATTGTAGAAGAAGATTGTTTCGGACTTGTACTGCGTGTTCATCACAGTGTTGCAGATGGAGTCGCTTTGACAAGAGTTTTTGTAAAGAATCTATTCGATGTGCCTCCATTAACGCCGGAACCGAAGAAGTTCTCTTCAAGGCAGAGATTTTATATGTGGTGTAAGGCTATAATTGTGGGTCCTTTTATTCTTTTGTTAAAGTTCTTTTCAAAAGCCGACTTCTCGAACATTCACGGACATGAACTGTGCGGCAAGAAAGTCGTAGCTTGGTCTAAGAATGTTGACCTGTCGTTAGTGAAAAAAGTTAAAAATACCGCCGGAACAACCGTCAATGACGTCATGGTTTCGTGTCTGGCCGGAGCTTTACACGATTATCTGAAATGCAAACAAAACTATGACACTGCGGCAACACTCGAAGATATGTGGGCTTCAATTCCCGTAGATATCCGCACCTCATCGAAGTCCGTAGAACTGGAAAACAAGTTCGCAATCGTGTTTTTACGGCTACCAGTCGTTGCCAAGAACGCTGTGGACAGGCTCCTAGAAACCAAGCAACGCATGGATATTATCAAAACATCCGCTGAGCCGCTAGTGACTGCAGTCACTGTCCGGTTAATGATGTTGTTACCAGACTGTTTCTCCAGGTCTCTCATAGACTTCTTTTCGCGAAAGGTGTCCTGCGTCCTCAGCAATGTGCCTGGTCCTCAACAGGCCCTGTACCTCGGGGGCCAGAAAATTGTGCAAAGTCTTTTTTGGGTGCCCCAAAGAGCGAATATTGGAGTGGGACTTTCGATATTTAGCTATGGTGGGGGCATTCGTGTTGGGGTCTTCTCGGATGAGCGGGTCATTCCTAACCCCAGGGATGTGGTAAAAGGATTTGAGACGAACTTCTTGCAATTAGTAAAAGAGTTAAATGTTGATGAAGATCATTTACTTTGAACCTAGACTGCAAAACAGTCCCTATTTTTGCGTATTCAAGTACGCGCGAACAGTCAAACAGAAGGTCTGGAACGAGGCTGAAAACAGAGAGCGAGACCTGGGGAGAGACGGTTTTTTTGTCTCTCGCCTCACACGCCCTACGGGCGTACGGGCGTGTAAGGCCTTCGCGTTTCAATGAGTCGCACTAAGAAAGAAACGTAAAAATAAATCGTGATATAAACAAGAAATAAAACATAATCCAGAAGCACAACAGTAATCGCCTTAGTACCATAAATATTGAGGAACAAAGCATGTAAACCCTGGAGAAATGCAAGATGCAGTCGATAGCGTAGGATTAAATGGACATGTAAACTAGATCTATTTTAAAAGACAAACGAGGGAACCAATAGTCTGCTACACAGCGGTTTTTAGTGTCGTCATGCAACAGAGGAGCGTTGCGTGACGACACTAAAAACGGCTGTGTAGCAGACTAGGGAACCAAGGAAACAACAACAACAACAAAAAATAACGTGATAAAGACTGCGCCTGGAGTAGTTGCTGAAGTCAAAAATAAAATGTGATAAGCTTTAATACGCCGGTCTCATGGATGCTGCTTGCCAAAGAGCATCGTCGGCAAGATTATTGCTGTTTATCGAATACTATCGATTTCCGATATCAATCGGTGGATTAAACCGATTGATATCGATTTCTATCGATTAACTACGTCTGGAGAACAGCATAGTGAGGGGGGGCGTCTGTTAGCCTGCGAGAGCATCCGGTTTTTTCGGCTCTACGGCCGGAAATTCGTCTGCGGTCCGCAAGCTAGGCGTCTGTACACAGGCTAATTTTTAGTACTAAGTAATATTTTCATGCATCTTTGGGGCTTTCATATCCCGTGACGGTGCGATCTCGTCGTTCGAATCACGTGGCCAGGGCGTGGTTGTGAGGCATTCGAGCAAAGCCTCGGAGTAAGTGGAAAACGAAGGTGGTTGTTGAAGCTGGAAAACGTGTCCATCAATAAAATGGAGATACCACTTATGAAACGATAGGTATTTTTAAAGTTGTTTTTTCTTTCTGTGAATTTCAATTTCTTTTAAAACACACTAACGACATGTGCAGAGGCCACACTGCGAAAAGATGGCGGCTCTACATACTGTACCTTCTAAAATCTTACGTGCTAAAAGCTTTGGAGGATTTCGTTATGAATTTTGAACTCTCAGAGAACGGCCCGTAGATCAAAACACATTTTTTTACTTGAATAAGATATTTACAAGGTTTTTCATACCCAGCAATTTATGATTAATGAAGCAAAAAGTAAAAGTTAAATACAGCTACCATAATATTTTTAAAAACTTAGATTATTCATATTGGGTTGCTTAAACAAGCGAAAGAAATAAGGAGAGAAAATATTTAATAACTAACGTAACATGGCAAATTAAAACTATTTTAGCGTCATCGAATTAAAAAGCGCAGAAGTATCAAGAAAATCGGAAAAGATAATATTTACAATGGATAATATGGAGTGAAAAGTTGAAGAAAAAAAACATTATTGAAATGGACTGAAAAGGGTGAAATTCTAACACTTTATAATCAATAAAACTTTGATTTCTTCTTTCTAAGTATTTTTTACCTGTTAACTAAAATAAAATATCAGTTTAAATCATATGCTATTTACAAAGTATCAATCTTTGGTTATTTTAAAAATATAATTTGCCTCCTGCACCTAGCCGCTGAGGGTGTGGTACCCCCTTACTCTAAAACATTTGAAACTTTTACCTATCCTAAGCGGCCAACCATTTGACTTTTGAGGTGGGAAGGGGGTATGGGTGATTTGAGAAAAAAATAAGCTGTTAACTGATTTGGAGGGGAAAAAATCTTAAAAGGAAATACCTGGGGGAAAAAATTCCTGCACTGAAAAAAATGTATCTCTCATGGTGTATTATGAGTAATTATGCTGAGAAAAATATATTACACTGTTACATGTCTGGGGAAAAATTTTATCTCCAGAGGTTTGGGAAAAAAAATTCATCACAAATCACCCATATCCTCATCAAAAGTCAAATGGTTGGCCCCTAAGGGGGAAATGGCAAAGAGGTAGGCAATATTTCAAACTATTTAGCAAAATATTTACAAAATAAATTCTAAGCAATCTAAATTTGAATGGTCAGAGTGTCCAGGGCAGGGATCGTTGCCACTTCATGAAACACTTTATGTGAGTACTTGTTTCGCACTGTCATGAGGTTCTTGTTTGGTGATGCGGCATTCATTGCATTTAACTGCAGCACACACTCTCGCAGCTCATCCTTTGTGTACCCTGTATAATGCACTAGTGTAGGAGTCCATTCAGTGCATTTATTGTTCATTAACAGAGCAAGGTACAGGCATGACGCAGCCATGTGTGAGGCTTTGTAAGTGATGAAACGATTATCAAGCAGGGATGACTCCAGAAGGAAGCGAGCCAGTGTTAGTGTTTCAATGCTTGCAAATGCCGCCTGATAATGGAAAATTCAATGTTTTAATATACCGTATTTATTCGAATAAACACCCAACCTTGAATTAGCGCCCACCTCAAATAAGCACCCGTCCTAAAGGCAGAAAAAGTTAATAAGCGCCCAGCCTTGAATAAGTGCCCACCCCCTCCTCCTCCCAATCGAACTCAAATAAGCGCTCACCCCCACCCCACACACTTGAGTGAATAAATTCTAATGAGATACTTCCCCGAGGACGGAGTTTTCTTCAGAGTATTTTACAGAAACCTTGCTTTGTTACTTCTTCATGTTTTGTTATTAGCATTTATTGTTTGGTTGCAAAATAAACATGCTTCACTAGCTGAAAATGGTGAAAGTGCCCACCTCGAATAGGCGCCCACTCTCAAGGTCCAAAAATTTAATAAGCACCCAGGGCGGTACCCAGGTCCCAGAGGTTTTGCTTGATTTTTCTTCGCGAAGGAGATCAAGAGCAAGCTACAAAGCGGCGACAACGAGTCTCGTCGCGACTTGTTGTCGCCTTGCTCTTGATCTCTTTCGTGAAGAAAAATCAAGAAAAACCTCTGGGACCAGGGTACCAGGGCGGTTAATCAAATAAATATGGTAAATAAGCTTTGGTAAACAGTTCTTTCTCTACTGCACAGAAACTTTTATACAAATTCATTTAATAGATCTTATTCTTTTCATTGTGATAAATGCATTGCAGATATTTTTTTGGATGGTGAAAAATTCTCTCACCTTTGCGTATCTTCTTAGAAATCTGTATGGGATGGGAATGTTGACATCAAAGCCTAAGCTTCGCATTATTCTGCTCTCCATGGCGATAAACTGTTGTTGCTGATATGCATCATCACAGATGTAAATAAAATCATCCATGCAAGGAGGGTGCCGCTCCTAAAAACAATCAGAACATCAGAGAATATAAATAAATTATGATGGAATCCATCACCAAATTGAGTAATTTAATTTTCAGTGGACAAAAACCTTGTACCAAAATTTTTTAGGCCAGATTGCATTCTTTTTTACACTTCTCAAAGGCTATAGGTGTAATTAATTACACTTGTAGGTATCAGTAATAACACCAAAAACAATTTCTTATGGAAGCCCAAGAACATAAATTTCAGATTTCAAAGGAAATGAAAAAACACAGGTAAAATCATCATGCATAAGATTTCATTTTGTGAAAAACACTTTTGAAGTTTGTTTTCTCTGGCTCCCATAAGAACCTTTTTCTTTTTCGCATAACGGATTACATTAATTTTATAGGCCTCAAAAAGTGTAAAAAAGAATGCAACGTGCTTGAAATTATTCTAATACACTTAGGCCAATTGTACTCAGATACCCTTCAGCCTTGGTATTACCTAGTACATTTTGCCAAGAAATGTGCTTTAAACTATGGAAAAACCTACTGTAGTTACAGTCAAACCAAGTCAAGCGTACCCCCCAAGATTCTTTTAATGAATTGATTATTTGAAAAATGAATCCGTTGGTCGTTCCCGTAACTGGTGTCAAATTCAAAGCGGCATTTCTGCATGCGTAATGAGCAGTGAATATTTTACGAGAACTTCTCTGTATTTGGTAAGATTTCACGGCTCATTACACATGCAAGAATGCAGAGATCACTCTGAAATCTACAACTAGCAACGGATTCAACTTTTGAATAATAAATTCATTAATGTATTCTTGGGGGGTACGCTTGACCTGGTTTGACTGTAATTTAATTTTTAGGGCCAGAAATTATAATTGATTTTCTCTCTTCAATGGGAAATTTGTTATCACAGACTGTATGAATTCAAAAGACAGGGAAATTCAGGTTGGCAAACGAACTTAACTATAACTTAATTACCTCAATTTTGGAAGAGATGATCAAAGTTGTTGCACCAACAAGCTGTAATTCATCTCTTTGAATAGAATTTTTCTCCAGGAAATGATCAAGAAGTTTAACCCCAAGATAGAGGGTTTCATGATACAACTCAAAACACTCTTGGACTTCCACCAGCCAGTCAACCAAAATACCGCGCATCTGTGGGGTGATGCCATTTTGCGTCTCCAAGTAGTTTGTTAGTGGAAAAAGTTCCTAAAAAGTAAATGGTAATTGTCATAAACATACTTCAATATTGGATTGCAAATTCTGATATAAATTTATTTTATATGCATGTCTTCAACAATGAAAATCACAGTCATGTAACTTGTTTCAAAAGAGACGTTGAGATACACCGTTTCCATGTAAGGGTACAGCTAAATTACCCGTATGCGTAGCCATGAATACAGGTAGATTGCCTCTTACCCTGGGGAAATGGCTAGGCTACCGAGTAGAATGGTAACGCCATTATCATTCTAAAAAAAAATGGTTGCTTCTTATATAACTATCATTATCAAACATGACCTACCCTTACCCGTATCTTAAGGTCACTAATGTCTCTTCTGGTATTGCAAATCCTGCTTTCTTATATTGGCTCACATACTTGCTTAAATATCAGGTCAGAAATAAGAGGCTTAAGTCCCTCTGAACTGTTACTTTCAAAAAAATATTTATTAATCTGCTGATGGAAACACCGAAAGCTCAAGTTTCCCTCTGATAATGTTCGTTATTAATAACAGTATATACTTTCAAGTATAATTTATTAAAAACTCTGATAAAGTCTATGTTGTCAGTGGTTCGTAATAAAGTATTACCTCTCTCCTTTTCATATTGACAAAGATTTCATGTGCATATTCTGAAACAGTTACAGGGTCTGTGTTGTTGGCATCAATGTCAATCACATCATTGACAGGAGTCTCCTGTACCTTTTGAATGCAAGTAATATTCATGTTACTCACTAGTGGCTGGGGCCAAAAGAAAATGTATGGATTGTTCTAGAATTAGGGCAGCATATGTGGTGGAATCATGATGTTTCAAACCACCTTGAGAAAAGCAAATTGGTTTTAATTATCAGGAGGTCTAAAAAGCCAGGAGTAAAATTATGGTGTTTGATTGGTGAAGGGATGTTAGGCTTGGTTTGGATTAGACTACGAGCAGTCTCTCTTTTTTCTGTAGTCCCTCGAGCAAAATGCGAGACACACAAATGGCCACACACGTGACTGGTGCATTGCTCTCACTAAATCTGAAGAAAAAGAGAGAATGCTCACAGTCTAGGTTTGGATAATCAAGAATTTAAAACACTGAGGATTTGAGAAAATGGAATTCTTCTGTTATTACAGTGTACGGTATTTTCAATTTTGAAAGCTACTGCTGCATCATCTATGGGCACCAGGCATTGTACAGACTATCTGGATGTCAAGATTTATGATCACTCGGATCATGGTGCATCAAAGGAACTGCTCAAGTCTCTTCTTTTAATGTACAATGGTCTGCGCGGTTTTGGATCATAAATCTTGATCCAGATTGATCATTTGTGTTTCTTTCTTCTGATTTTATCTAGTGATTTAGACCACAGAATAAATGAATGACAATTTAAAGGTAGTACATCTTTTAAATAAGGATCGAAGTGCATCTACATAGTGGATGCATGTTAGTCTTAAAAATTTGGGGTTCTGAGAAGAAAGGAAACAGGAGTTAGCAGAGAAAAACCTCTTTGTGCAAGGGTCAGAACAAACAACAAACTCAACCAATGTACGCCACAATCGATTTTAGGACTCAAACTTTGACTTTATTTCTGGGAGGCACGAGTGCTCTCACCAAAACCTGCACCACAGACTAAAATAAACTCTGGCTAAGTCTGTCTTTGAAACAGCACTGAAATTTTTGTTCTAATTAAGCCCCTAGGATTTGACTATGTACCATGATTGGCCTGTTAAAAATGCCATTGTTGATTTGCCAATCTAGACAAAAGCAAATTCGAAACGACTTTTTTTGAGTCCATTGGGGTGCCAGAACAAGGCAAAGCAGGCGTATTTTGCTGTGATTGATTTGGACTTTCAACTGATCAAGAGTTGGGCTCCTCCATGTACCTTTGGGTGCTAGGTTATCAGTGCTGCTTTGCAGAGGTAGTTAAAATAGTCTGCGGTGCATCCCTTAAAACACTATATAACATGCCATATGGATTTTTCCAGACTGATATTTCTCTTGAATTTACCTTCTCTTCAGTCTCTTCCTCTTTTGTGTCAGCTTTTGTGTCATCTTTGGAATTTTTATCTGAATCAACACTAGTAAAACAGTTTTGACTTAAGTTAGTATAATTATTGGGAAAAATTTTGGTTGTTGGTTGTCCACTAGCACATATATTAAGGGATTCCATACTTTTAAAGGAAGTGTTAAGATGCACAGAAAAAATGGCCCACAACTATACATTGGAAGTTTAAGAGCAGAAAATTGCTTTTGTATCTATCCTTCAGCAAGCAACTGAAAATTACTGACTCTCCCATTCACAAGTTTAATGAAACTTCTTACTTAGCTTTGACAAAGAGGTTTATACCTGCCAACTGAAAATAAAGTCAACAATGTACCTGGAGGATTCTTCCAAGCTTGAGATTGCAGAATCGCTGCCACTTTGAGGTATAGTCACATCAAGACTGGTCACTGAACTGCAAATAGCCAAAACAGAAACGACATTATTGTGTGAAGGCACTTTCTTTCAAACGTGCAACAAAGGATTCCTTGCAAGCTTCTCCACCAATTTCTGGCATTAAAGCTTATATGAAAACATTTTCATGTCACATATAGTCACATATAGTACATATAGTAAAGATTCAAATGAAAAAATCAAGCGTTCGAAAGCTTCTTATGTTTAATTATGTTCCTCCTATGAAACAAACCTTGTAGATTGCAGCGAGTCTTGAGAACTAGACCCTGATTCTTCGATGGAATCTTGTGAGCTTAAAATTTCCCCAGATGGAGAGTCTTCAGTAATGATAACCGGTTGTTTAACAGAAGATTCTTTTAACTCCTTGCTTCTTCGCTGCTTCGTGTTTGCCTTCTTCTCGACTTTTGCCTTGCTTTGTCGCTGTGATTCTTTTCGAACGACGCCGCTTTTTATCTGTTTCTTTTTGGTATCCTTCCCTCCGAGTGGTATCAGAGCTGCCTAAAATTCCGAAGGAAAATAAACTAAGGGAATTGTTCCTTTGCACAGTGGAAACGTGAGGAAATAAGCCGATGCCTTACATTATTTGTGATGTCTCCAAACGCAGATCTCTTTCTTGAAGGTGCATTCTCGGGGGAGCCTTCGGCCGACCGTTTTCCTTGGTCGATAGACTTTACAGTCATCTGTGAAGGAACCCCGTTTTCATCTGAAGCATCCCCCTGTTTTAGAAGAAAAGAAAAGTAAGGACGACAAATTAATTTGAAAGTAAGAAGTCCAAAGTAAATCAAGAATTTGGAAGAATTATACAGAATTGTCACTGACAGCGTGGCCAAGCATTTGAGTTCAACTAACCTTGGATTTCTTGTAAAATACCGACGGTACAGCTGCTCTAGAACGTGTCTTAACCATTTCGAAATGTAAAAAAGAAATATTTAGCCAAAAAAAATAAAATTCTTCGCACAAATACAAGTCTTTTTTGATTCGATAGTCTTCGAAGTTCTCTTATCTTCCTTTCTTCTTTGCTTTGACCGAACCTTGCACTGCTACTGAAAACGATTTGGATTTTTGCGGGTTTAAATCACACGATGTTTGATTGGCTGAAAAATTTTGCATTGACCAATCAGCAGCGAGGAACTCGATCTTCGATACGTTTCCTCGGAAACAGAAGCCTCGGAAGCCTCGTTCTCAAAAATAGTAGTCCGCTGACTAGCAAGATCGCATATTCCAACTTAGCGGGAAACTGAACAAGGGTGAACAAGGGTCGATTGATTTCTTTATGAAATATCCAAGCATCCAGGGCATCATTTTATGGATTACAGACCTTTTATCTATGGAGGATTGGCCTCTATGACAGCAGAGTTTGGTAAGGCGGAAGGAACACTTGATCGTAGGTCCAAACGTTTAAATAGGCGCTTAGGCAAGCCAAGTAGATCATAAATAGCTTAAGAGCGGTTTTTGTTTGGGTGCAGATATATATATTTTTGTGCGGGAATTCTTGTCCCTTGGTAGATGTTTGTGTTGAGTTTAAATTAGACCATCGTGATTCTCGTCATTCCCATAATTTCTATCGTGGAGAGGGGAAAAATTCTGCAACCCCCCCCCCCCCCCCCCCCCCCCCCCCCCCCCCCCCCCCCCCCCCCCCCCCCCCCACAAAAAACAACACAACCAACAAACCAAAGAAAAAAAACAACAAAACAATCACCACCGACAAAAAAACAAAAAAAAAAAAAAAAAAAAACAAAGAAGAAAATACGAAATTCAAAAAAAGTTTAAGGGGTTTTTTTGTTTGGGGGCAGAATATATTTTTTTGTGGGGGGAATTTTGGTCCTTTGGTAGTGTTTTTGGTTGGTTTTAAATAAACCCTCCGGAATTCCCGCCATTCCCAAATTTTCAACGGGGAGGGGGGAAAAATTCTTCCACCCCCCCCCCCCCCCCGAAACTCTCCTCCCCACCCACCCTCCCCCGAAAAATAAGAAACAAAACTGAGAAGGATCAGAAGGGAAAAACTGAATCAAAGCCTTCCTTCAGGTTAGCAACAAAAGAACATAGGTATAAGTACAAAATATGAAGAGACTGGAGAAAAGCATCTTATTATTTGTGGACATGTCAAATGTATTATCTATTTTTCCAGTTACCTTCCTCTTTCATTGTAACTGAGAATTTTTGCAGGGGGCGGGGCGGGAGGGAAGTACGGCCATATGTGGGCTATGTAGGTTGGTTGTTGAACAGTTTGCTCTGGGAAAGGGTATAAAAATCAGAGTTTGGGTCCAGAGGAGGGTATTTTTTTTCCAGGAACCTGATCATTATTGGTTGAAAATTGTAGTCTAAATAAGGGAAACTGGGAATTAACACTTAAAAGTATGAAATCAGCAAATTTAAATTTACCTTCAATTCAATTTAATTGCAAAGAAAGCTTCAACCTAGGTAGTTTCTGGAAAATAGCGACTCTAGGATAGGGAAGGTTTTTGGGAGTCTAGTCTTAAGGGTAGCAAAATTCACCTGGACTAGGTCTGGCATGGCTAAGGATTTCCAGGGTCCAAGTGGTACATCCCCACCCCAAAATTTCTAAAATATCCCCCTCTCAAGGCCAGATGGAGAGATGTGAGCAGAGGACTTTCCTCAACCAGAAGATCATAAGCTTAGATATTCGTTGAACCAATAAATTGTAGATATTTTGGAAACAGCACTGGGCTCTCTCTTGTTTTATATTGAATTCTTTCAGGAACCTTTCCTATTGATACTACAAAGACAAGACTTCAGCTGCAAGGGCAAGTAATTGATGCCAAGCAGAAAGAGATCAGATACCGGGGAATGCTTCATGCATTTGTGAGAATTGCAAAGGAAGATGGATTAAAGGCTCTGTACAATGGGTACTGTGTCCTTAACCCTCTAAGTCCCAATAGTGACCATCAACAATTTTCTCCTAACAATATCCATATGTTGCCAAGAGAAATGGTTATGAGAGTTAATAAAATGATCACTAAAGAGAAAATGCTTTGATCTGTTATCAAACTCTCAAAGAAATGTATGAAGATCAGTATGGAGTAGCCAACTCGAAAGCTTGGCTCCTTTGGCTGCTACACACTTTTTTCCTTTGTTATGTTTAATTCAATGTATAGTTAGCTCTGTTTTTACTTCTTTTTTTTATCTTATTGTTGTTGTATTGCAATTGAATAAGTGTGAATAAATGAACATGGAGAATTTATATGTGGATATTTGAGCTTAAAGGGTTAACTGTGATTTTATCAATAGCCAGTTCTTATTTCTTGTCATCAAAACGCAGTCAACTTCACTGGATCTTGATAAATTAATGCCAAAGGTGACATTAAACCTTAAAGAGATGGGGTTTGATTTTTGAAATTTGTACATTCCTCTGGAAAGTTTTTGCTATGTCCATGTAAAACATCTGCCAGTTGACATGGTTTAAGAGAAGATGGGGTCGATTGTCATGTTAGCCAAGTTCCGGCCTATTTTCCTGCCTGGAAAAAAGGAGCTGAAGATGATGAATTGGCCAAATTATTCCGAGTGATACTTGTTGAAAGTTTTTGTTTTTTCTACTCATTATTTTTAGGGTTGCTCCTGCACTTCTGCGACAAGCAACGTACGGATCTCTCAAGCTAGGCTTTTATCATGCTGTCAAGAGAAAGCTGGTGAAAAACCCAAAAGGTGAATAAGAAGACAGACTAACTTAACTAGTTTAAACTGATATCAATGTGCATAATTATCTTTCTTTTGGCAATGTTGATGGAAAAAAGGGGTCAAGGGTTTCAATAATAATAATTGACATAGCCAGCAGGTTGAATAAAGTAACCCACTGAATCAACAAGGGGCTTTTGGTCCCCTTCTTCTAGGGAATTTTTTGGGGTGTGCTCCCTTAAAAGTTTTTAAAATTTCAATGCCCGAAAATGCAATTTCCAGCGTTGTGGGCACTAAATTGAGTACATGAACAAAAGATAACATATTTCTGATCAGAATAGACAAGTAATGTACAGTAAGGCCCGATCCTGTCATAAATGTTTTTAAATATTATGAAGCGAATACTATGTTTGAGTCCAGCAAATTTAATTTTAAGTTTAGTTTCGACAGAATCTTTCTCTCATTCAACACTGAACATTCCCAGCTTTCAGTTTTAGGGGAAAAAAGTAGCCAACTTCTCTGAGAAAAGTAGCCGATGTGACTTTTCAATTGTCGGTGCTTATTGAAACCCCTGTGCAGTTAAAGGGTTAAATGGACAGGGCAGAATAGTGAAACTTCAGATAGAAAATATGGAGCATTCTCTGGTGGGGTTTTCGTATGAAAACCATGCCTCACTTAAGTAAAACTGTGGGAGCCGTAGTTCATCAGGTAACCATTTTTTCTCTCGATAGTCAGGGGCACCCAACGTCAATTTTCGGAAAATATCTGTTTGGAAGACGATTTGAGATCTAGAATTTTCGGAACATTTTTTGTCAAATTTCTTGCTTGCCTACCTCTCCTAGGATTTTTGAACATCTATTGGTGTAATTGCCCATTTTTAACGGATTTTTACCCTAAAAAGCTCACCTAGAATTTTCGGGAGCCTTTTTTCTGGCTGAAATTTTCGAAAAGGTAAGTTTTGATCCCTATGATTTTCGGATCTTGAGACTTTCAGCTAGGAAATCCAAACAGATTAAAAATTTTTAGGGGATAAAAATATGCCTATATCTACCGTTTAAATACTAAAATACGTTTAACAATGCTATGTTTAAGTGGTTTTGAACTATATTCTCGTTGGGTGCCCCTGGATAGTGGCCAAAGTAATAACTTCACAAAAAATTCAATTACTGGTATCCTTTGGTTAAATCCTAAGTAAAAGTTCTGCCAGTAAGGTTTCATTTCATTGGTAATGTACAGACTGTACAATAGGTTTTTGTCTTATCTCTTCTTAATCTGCTTAAGTAAGAAAATTAAATTTTTGTTGGCTACAGGTGTACTTAACTGCCTAGATTGTGAGGGAGTTATGTGGGTGTTGGCTTCTGCATGCGATTGGCATGAGTAACTCATTCTTTGCGAAGTCTTAAGTTTTGTTCAAAAAACATTAATTTTGTGCTGAATAAGTAGTATTCTTTCTCAATATGTATTGTGAGGTGACCCTTTTTATCTTGAGACTTTTTAAAGCTTTCTCTCTTTTAAACTTTCTCTCTCTCTTTTAAAAAAGATAACACGTGAAAGAAAATTATCAAGTAGAAATTGATGTATACTAGCTGCTTCGCCGGCTTTGATCTCACACTGTGACAATTACATGTAAATTTAAACTAACTGCCACTTTGAATTTGATGTTACCAAAAAACAACAACAATAATCAATCAATTAGTTGGTCTTGACACTTAAGCTGTGCAACTGTGTAACTACATTTTGTTAGAGGCAATTTCGCAGACAGCTCTATCAATTCATCTTGTAACACAGCTGCCGTTTTGAGTGATTTTTTCAAGCCTTCGCCCTTTTTTAGCATTTCCCATTCCTGACAGGCAATCACATGCACAAATCCAATTTGACCAGATCTTGCATTCGGCTTTGTTGAGAAGAGATCTGGGTACAAGATTAGGTTTTGTCTGTTGAATGAAAAGTTTGCAAGACAGTATTCTTGAAATCACCTCTTCATAACTTGGTCTAGGAATGAAAGGGTTATTCATTTACTACACATCTTTATTATTGCATGGATAAAGTTATAACCATGAGTGGTCATTTTTCCAACAGATGAGACTCTTTTTTACAATGGCATTGCAGGGGTTATTGCTGGTGCAGTTTCGTCAGCAATTTGTAACCCAACTGATGTACTGAAGGTAAAATTCAAAACAGTTCAATCTTGGAATTTATCTTTATTTAACTTATGTTAGTACCAGTACTGGTTTAATTTGGACTGTGCACAATCATCACTTTCATCATCCTCACTGTCATATTCATAACCTTTGTTACCATCATTATCATAATTAATATTATTAAGAACCATCTGTAAGCATCTTCACCATCATCACTACCACCAGTACAGGTACTAGACGTCTGATTTGGGACTGTCCACTATCATCATCATCATAATCCTCATCATCACATTCATAATCTTAATTAACCATCAGTATCATTGTCATTGTTGTTTTACAAATATTATTACCAACCATCTCATGTCATCATCATCATCATCATCTTTACCACCACTACCACCGTCATCATAACCATCCTTATTTTTAATAAATACCAATGAAATACCAGGTGAGCTTTTGCATGAAAACATGATATCTTCAGACGTGAAAATAACATGTTATTTTCACATGTGAAAATATCACCGTTGCTATGGCTACATAATAAATAGTGCCTTTTGCAGGATGAACTGTTTCAGTGAAATGTTTTGGTATTTCATTGGTGTTTATATAATAAATAGAACATTACATGGCCACTTGGAGATATGAAATTTCTCTTCTCATGTTGAAAATATTTCACTCATTCGCGGTTTTCAACACTCGAAGAGAAATTTCATATCTCCGCGCGGCCATGTAATATCCTCTATAACTTAACCTTTATCAGTGTCATCAACTTCAATCACCACCACCATCATTCTCGTCATTACCTAGTTACAAACTTTAAAATGTTCCTTTGCACAGATTCGCATGCAAGCAGAGTATCAAGCAGGAACCAATGTGATTAGGAAAGGAATGATTAATTCTTTTGTGTCCATGTTCAAAGAGGAAGGACTCAGGGGACTGTATCGGGTAATTTGTTGAATACTTTAAATGAATGAAATGCGTTCAGTTATCTCACTTATTGACACAATGAAGTTGGGTAAATGAAACAACAACAATATAATCAACAACAGCTACATAATACTCACAAAATATGGCCAGGCTTTTTTCTTTGTTGTCTTGTTGTTGTTTTTTTTGTTGTTGTCTTTTTATTATTTGTGGTATTACCAACTTAAAATGTGATACTAGTAGAAGACTTCTGTTTATTGGTAATAAGCAAAGTTCTTCGGTAATTTGCTGAGTTGATTAATGTATATGCTTGGAAGGCTTAAGTCATTGGTGATTGCAAGTGAATTCTGATAGACTGACTACTAGAGTCTCATTCCAATTTGCCTTGTATGTGTTTTTGAGTCAAAGAGAGAATTCCACATTAGATCAGGATTCACTTAGTACCTTATCTCATGCACACCCTTTTTTTTCTCAGGGAGTTGGCCCTACAGCTCAGAGAGCTGCTGTCATTGCTGGGGTAGAGCTTCCAGTCTATGACTGGTGTAAAAAGATGATTCTGGATTACAAACTTATGGATGACAATCCTTACACTCACTTCTGGTAAATGTAAAATACAATAATATTAAGCTGCTAACGGCTTGATGGGGTTTTTTCAGGGTTAATTCCCCCTCAACTTGTTTTGCTTATTGAGGATTCTTCAGGGCTGTCACATTTTCAACCCATGTTTGTGTTGTTTGTTGTCACTTCAGCTGTCTTTATGGTGTTGTTTAAAGGCCATGTCACTTCTCAGAATTTTTTTTCTAACAGAGGCTCGCTACTTAATGACCACCTCTGTTTGTTAATTTAATGTAGTTTATTATAATTTATACTAACAATGATTTATTTGTATTGTTGTAAATTAAGATATGAATGAGTTTTCAGGATAATAAGGAGATAGATACTTTTTTCAGATGTTAGGTGAGTTTTGGAGGGCTATTGCTAGCATGTGTAGTTTCTTTTTAGCTTAGCAAGACTAGCATAGAAGACAAGACAGGGCATCAGGTGGAAAAGAGCAAAACATAAGGACTGGGAATGAAGGGAGGGGAATATTTAGCACAAAGGTGTGTTTGTCACTTGCTGACTGTTCTGTTTTAAAAATCTGTTTTTCAGTGCTAGTGGCATGGCTGGTTTTGCAGGAGCTGTTGCATCAAATCCTATCGATGTTGTCAAGGTTGGTTGCATTGTAGACAAAAAGTGCTGTGCTTTATATATTATGCTAAATTAACCCCTACAACACGCCAGGACTCTTCCCTGCTAGTGTTCCTTTCATAAATATTATCGCAGTAGATAACTGCATGAATGTAGAATACTGCCCCTCTAATTCACCTTTAATTTTCCAAACTAACTAATAGGAAAATTTTAGTAGAGACTTGTTGAACATGGCTCATAAAGATGCATTACCAGGTTCTTGTTGTTATTGTCTGATAAGACAGTATCTACCTTTACAGGGCTGGGAGGGCATAATGATAAGGTGACATGTTGTGGTCAGTTTGAGTTTATACCAGGGCTGGGTTGTTCAAAGCTAGGTTAAGATAACCCAGGACTAGTGCAAAATTTGAATTCAGATATGAAAGCTTCCAAAGCAAGTTCGGTTTCATTCTTTTTGTCTACAATTTGATGATTGGTACCTTGGTCCCAGAGGTTTCTCTTGAAAGTTTTGTTTGGGAAAGAGAGAGCAAGCTGCAAAGCGGCGACAATGAGTCACAAAGTCTCTGTAAGGCACCAAGTCGCTCCTTACTGCTTCATAACTTGTTGTCCCCGCTTTGCGACTTGCTTTCTCTTTCCCAAAGAAAAATTTCAACAAAAACTTCTGGGACCAGGGTAGATGATTGGATGCTCTAAAAAGAATATAGAAAGTTATCCAATAAAATGCATTTGAACAAAATTGAAAGGGAACCAGAATTAACATTTAACGCCGAGTCAGTGCTAAGAACTTTGAACAACTGGGCTCAATTGATCAACTGATTGGCAGTCTCACAGTACACTGATTGGTAAGCCCATGGTGTACCATTAACTTGTAACTTTTCTGATCCATGCCACACTGTAACTTTCTTTTGTTGCTGCTTTCATTGCAGACCAGAATGATGAATCAGCGAAATCTCAAGGTTAAGCCTGGTGAAGGGACTGTGATTTATAGAAGTTCAACACACTGTTTAGTTACTGTAAGTTTAAAAAACTAATACATTTTGCATTGTCCACCATTAGGATTAGATATAATGGGTTAAGTTTGTTATCATCATAATTAATGTCTGTTGTTGGTGCATGTATCTTGTCAACTTTTATCAGTCTTAGTTGCCCAAAGTCGTTGATGTTGTTATCCTTGGTTTTACCTATCATTTTTAGACTTTCAAGTCTGAAGGATTCCTTGCTTTGTATCGAGGATTTGTGCCACAGTTTATGAGATTATTTCCCTGGAATGTTGTTGTATCCTTGAAAAAGATTATTGATATGTGTTTTGGCCCAAATGTAATAATATTAGTTGTAAAACAGATAATTTTAACATTTAAACTGTAGCATTACAGTAGCACTTGAAATGCTAGCATTTCAATCTGACTCGATAACCCACGTTCGATATGTGAAAATTCTAACGTGACTGCGAGGTTTTGGGGACAAATTTTACTCTACTTCGTTCGCAATCTTGCCCAATTTCCAGAAGAGACTTGTGCACAAAGAAAACCAAACCAAAAATAGCCTTGGAGTCATGTTAAAACTTTAATATATCGGACGTGGGCTATTCGAGCTGTTTATAGGCACTGGTGTGGGACTGGTTTAAAAAATGGGTGAAAATGCATTGTGGGCTAATGGGGCCTATCACGGTTTCTGCAACATGAAGCTTCTCAACCTTTGAGTCTCAGGGCTAGATGGTGCAAGAGTAAGGGAAAGTCTATGAGTACTGCTACTTCCCACGTGTTGGGAAGTTGGTTGGGTAAAAAACGGCAGTGAAGCAACGTATTTTCGGTGGACTTCATTTGACAAATGGATGGCCACTTTTTTTTTACCAAGAAAAACTGAACGGTCGAAACGAATTGAGTCGTATCATTTGATCTGAAGTTTCGGATTCAAGTGCTTTCCCGCGCCATTAAACTCAAAAGCACGCGGAATCGTTGAAGCAGAAGTAAAACGCAAGTACGGACGACCAAAACTTAAATCGTGCTCACCTTGAGTGTCACAGTTGTGTTGCAGAGTCTGGCATTAGAGGCGAAGCGAATAAAACAGCTGTCACGTAACAGACAGTTTGGAATGGTAAAGATTCATCCCTTGAATCCGCCATCTTGGGCATTGCTGTCTTCTTGGAAATAGCCTGGCACTAATAGTTCTGAACAAATGGTACAGAAATTTCCGTGAATTCGGTGAAGGCAAGGAAGGTTTTAACTTTTTTCCGAAAACATTCCACTGGGATGAACCTTTCCATTTGAATACCAGGTTTTCCATACAAATGGTAAGTGCTCAAAAGTTTCTTGTCATTGGAAACAATGCGATGGCAAGGCTCGAAGTGAGACTTGAAAAAAAAGTGGCAGGGGGGAGGACGGGTACTTCCATGTTTTATTCAAAATAAGGTCATTTTCACATTCTTTTTGGACTTTCGCGAAGTCCTTTGTTTTTCATTTCCGGTTCCGGTAGAAAGCCCCAGCGCAAAGAGCTCGAGCTCACTCTTGCCGCGGAAAATTATTGAGAAAAATTTTGAGCTCAACTTTTTGCCGGGCTAATCGACATTTTTTCATACTCGATTATTCTTTAACTCTCTGCAGTTCTTCATGTCATATGAACAGTACAAGAAGTTTGGAAATCAAATGTTATAACCTTTATTGTAAGACTAGTGTATAGCAGGTCCTAATTTTCAATTAACGTATTTCAAGTGACACGCTAGCCTTCAATGCAATGACGCGGTGACTGATCTGATCAGAAAGCCAGAAAAATTGGTGAGATAGTAAGTAAACAAAAAATCAGTGAAATTATTTATTTATCTATGAATTTATCGCTTTTAGGTACTCAAGTTGAATCATATTGAAAATGTGAATAATGAAATTACAAATGTAATAAAAATTGTAATGTTCTTGCCAGCTGCCTCTTTCGTTGGTTTTTTGCTCAATCAACGCAAGCTTGTTGGACGAGGACGACTACGAAAACGAGATTTGACTTAAAAATTTTTCGCGTATTCTCAAAATATAGACTTCCCGGAAAGCTTCATCTTACCATTTTTCACTAAAAAGTTAGCACTGTTATCTGTAGTAAGGGAGGAGGTTACGCGCTCTCTCGATCGCACAGTAATAAAACTTCCAACATTTGATAACTTGTTTCCGCCACTTCGTAGAAGAGTGACGAGGGCTACCGCTTTTTCCCGCCAAAATGACGTTGATTCAAGCGCGAGCACTACTAAGTATTGAGAAAATCTCGTACTCGTAGTCGAACTCGTCTTAGAATTTAAAGGTCTCTACTTAAAGGAAAAGCCCTGGGAGCGAGGTTGCTCTCAAGTCTCACCTTTTAACCATCCTAGCGCGCTTGTCACATAGGCTACTGAAAGCCCTGTTGACTTACATTACTTGTCGTTGTTAATAACTGTGCCGTAAAATTCGGAAACTAGGCCCCTCCAAATGTAAGCCCCCCCACCCGATAACGCAAAAAACCCTCCGTTAAATCGCCCCTCCAAATATAAGCCCCCCCGGGGGCTTGTACTTGGAAAATTGCCCTCAAATACAAAGTAGAACAAAGCAAAAACGGTAAATTTACTTCCAACTATAAGGCTAGCCCTATCGATTTTGAAACGCAAATTTCCCTCCGTACATAAGCCCCTCCGAATATAAGCTCCTCCAAAAATAAGCCCCTCAAAACGGGCCTTTGAAAAGGATAAGCCCCGGGGCTTATTTTCGGAATTTTACGGTATTTGAATTGCTTGGATCTTAGTGTTCAAGGTTAGGCAGAATAGCGGCCGAGCAAGAACTGCAAAGAAATCATGAAGGCAAGCTATGAGTTTTGAAACAACCGTCAACGTTGATATACAGTCAAGAGCACTGCGCTTTAATTACTCTCAACCACCGTACACCTATCTACTATTTCTTGGATCTACTTCTTCGATAAAGTATATTCATTTCTTCATTTCAATTGCAATTGTTCCCTCCTTGCGAGTCATATTGTCTGCAACACCAAAGAATCACCAAAAATGTGTCTGGCGCACCTCGCTCGTTTTGCGCTTGCCTTCGCTCGCCTGAAAAACGCGAAAAAATAACGCCTGTTGTGAAGTAACATCATATAATGTTGAAACAAGCGATGGCGGCCAAATTTTCGCAGTTTGGATAAAATTTCTATCTCTCTGATCGAGATAATCAAATACCACATGATCAACATTAAGTCTATAAAATACATAAAGTACGGAAATGGCGTTGACCCTCCTAAAGTTTCTTTCATAACCTGTAAGAAAATTGCGAGAGTGAATGGATTTTTTTTACCTCCAAATCTGAAGGCCGTTTTAGACGCTTTGATTTGTCGTCTCGATTTGGGTCCGATTTGTAAAGAATCGGTCCCTTTTTACCCTGCCGTTTTCCTTTAGATAAAAAACAGCCTTGTTAAATCGTAGCGTGTTGATTGGCTTCATAAATTTTCATTGATGTTAAGCTCTTTCACTAGCTGCCAGAAGTTTCTCTCAAATCCTTTCACCACTTCCCTGGGGTTAGGAATGACGCATTCATCCGAGTAAACCCCAACCCTAATACCCCCTGCATAGCTGAATATCGAGAAACCCACTCCAACATTCGCTCGTTTAGGGACCCAAAAGATTCCTTGGACAACTTTCTGGCCCCCTAGGTACAAAAGGTGTGGGGGTCCAGGCACATTGCTGATGACGCAAGAGACTTTTTGTGCAAAGAAATCAATAAGCGGCTTGGAAACACAGTCTGGTAGCAGCATCATTAATTGAACAGTTACTGCAGTGATCCAAGGTTCAGCGGATGTTTTCATACTGTCCATGCGTTGTTTTGTTGCTAAGAGCCGGTCCACAGCGTTGTCAGCAACAATTGGTAGCCTTGGAAACACCAGGGCAAATTTATTCTTGAGTTTTACAGACTTTGAAGAAGCGCGAATGTCAACGGGTACAGAAGCCCACATATCTTCGAGGTTTACAACGTCGGTGTTTTGCGCACCCTTTAGATAATCGTGCAAAGCTCCTGCCAAACACGAAACCATTACATCATTAATTGTTGAACTAGTTATGTTTTTTACCCTTTTAACCAATGACAAGTCGACATTATTGGACCAAGCTACGACTTTCGTGCCGCACAGTTCTTGTCCATGAATTTTAGAGGAGTCGGCTTTTGAAAAAAACTTTGTTAAAACAAAGAAAGGGCCTACGACTATCGCTTTGCACCACATATAAAATCTCTGCTTTGTGGTGAATTTCTTGGGTTCTGGAGCTATGGGCGGTACATCGTAAAGGTTTCTTACAAACACCCTTGTCAAAGCGACTCCATCAGCTACGCTATGGTGAATGCGCAGTAAAAGGCCAAAACAATCTTCTTCGAGTACTGGAAATACAAGAAATTGCCAAGGTGAAAGATTTTCCGGTAGCGGGTTGGGGCAGATTTCGGCAATTGTTTGTTCCACATCATCCAAAGTTTTTGGAAGATTCCCTTCCCAGTTTAAAACATGTTTTTCCATACTGAAGTTCTTGTCTTCCTTCCAAACGAAGTATCCCATGTGGTTTTGAATAACTTGTGTCATTCGCGGACAAATTCGTTTACCCTTTTCGTCTTTTCCATACGCAAGTCGCTCTTGGATAATCTCTCGAAGTTTCGCGATATCTGGTTTTCCTTCTACGACCATCAAAGCGTGGATTATGTGGCGGTTTGTTGGACGATCTTGTTGCCAGACAGCGTCATCCCCTCGCAAAGGAATGCATTTCCTCTTGTAAGATATGTATCGTTCAAAGATACAGTTTGCCAACTTGAAAGTGGGAAATACAATCAGCAATACAGGAACAATCAGAAGAAAAACGGCAAACGTCGCCGTGCATTCCAATAAGTAGATTAAAGAACTAATTGCAAGAGCCAGCATACGCCTCGCTCCTTTAAATTGTTGTGCAGTCGGTGGAAGGTAGGCAGTGAATGCTTGTTTTCCAATGGCCGTTTTTTCGGCTGTAGCCTGCAAAGACGTGAACGAGGCCGGTGGAAGTAAATCACCACAGACAGCCGCAAGAGCTGCTGCATCTGACGGCGCGGCAGATGACGGACTTAAACAACCTGCGTGATCCATTTGTGTCTATGCGAAGCTCGGCCCTGTATCGAGAACTATGGTAATTAAATTTAGCCAGGGAGTCAATTCTAATCCGCTTGTTTTTTCAGGAAATTGATATTAATGTTTGCTTTAAAATCTGCTGAGTAACTTATGCCAGCGCGGATTTGTACAAATTGGCCACCTGTAATGACTTCAATGTGATTGGCTCTTATAAATACTGATGAGGGTGATACCTGCAATAATAAATTGACAAATGATAAATTAATGAAATATTGCACTCAATATTAAATATTTTCTGTCTTGGCATGAGTTAAGTTTGATCAGTTGACAGCAAAGGAGAATAATGGAACAAAAAGTTCCATTATTCTCATTCTTATTACAACTCATTTTCGCAAAGACTTCTGACGTCAACTCAAAGTTGGTCACCAAAGGCCGGATACGGAACCTCAGCTTTGGAATCGCTTTATATACGCTAGCAAATAAACTTCATATAGCAACCTCAACCGTTAAGCCAATTTTCTGGTAGTTTCTTGGTGTTGTGGACTGGTGCAATAACCAAATTATGTAATACAAAAGATTGAAAAGACAATGAACATTACTCCCTCTGCAACACAAATGCGAACCAACTATAGTTTCCGCAACACCGAGAAACACCCAATTTTCTGCTTTTGTGTGATAAAGGCCGCTTTTGAAAATCCAATTATTCTTTCCGAGACGTCTTCTGTTTGCGTGGCACCTCAGACCATGAATTAGACATTCAAAAAAGTCCATCTTCTGAATAATACGGCGTAGGACCTCTCGCGACTTCGTCGCTCGCTTGGCCGCTTCGCGGGCTAAAAAGATCGTTCCGCTCGCAAAGAAACTCGACTCGTGAGGTCGACTTGTAGCAAGTCTAACCAGAAATAAGTTCTTTGGTCGTCTGTTTGTTTGTTTGTTAGTTTGTACCAGGTTGGAAATACTAGGAAATACTGATGAACGAAAAACTCAAAAAAGGAACTCGCAGCTTAAGACAGATTATTTGGGGCTAGTGTTAGTTGATATTCATACAGTTCATTGTTTGGCCATTTCACGAAGTTTCTCAGTACAACGACCAGCTCACACCAGTCTGCATACCGGCCACTAAAGCCTAATAATTATTTCAACTTCTTCCGTCCCAAAAACGACTCTCTTCGAGAACAAAGTTCGTCCCAGTTTGACCACTGGTTGTTTAAATGGTATTTATATAGTTCAAAATGGTCAAGAAAGTGGGATTTTCGAGAGTATCACGATATTTTTTTCATATTGTAATACAATTGTTTTGAAGTGTCTCACATATTCTTCATTTGCAAAATATTATTATATTGGTCACTTTTGTTCAAGTATGCGTTATATTATATGCCTTATGCGTTGTATGCGTTTTGGAAACCTTCCGCCGCGTTTATCCTCCTTTTACCGCCAAACCGGAATATCGAGGAATAAAACAACTGATAAATGTAACAACTAGAATTGTCGAACGCAGGCTCCACTGAAGTCGTCTTCTCTATTACTGACAAATGTAGGCCAAGGAAATGTTCTTTATAAAGTATGAACAAAAGTGCAGTTAATTCTGCTGACGAAGGGCCAGACCCAAAACGTTTGGAAAAAAACACTTTAGTTCATTTCTTACTGTTTAATAAACAGTGCTTTGACTTACTTTTCAAAGTTCAACGCGGCTCGCCGGATTTTTTTCGCCAATTTCTTTATTACAAATGTAGACAACCTACCTATAACTGATGAGTAACCACCTCTTTAACTGCATAACGTAAAGCTAACAAAAACAGGGACCGCGGAGGGGGAGGGGCTGGTAGGGCCGCGGCCCCACCACTTTTTTGCGCCCCCGTTCCCACTTTTTGCGCTAAAAAGAAAAATAATTAAAATAAAAAAAAGACTTGAAACAAGTTTTTTTCCGTCTATATTCCGCTATATTCTCTGTATTTTCTTTAATTTCAAACGCCAGGCATTTTGTGGGGCTCTTGTGCTTTTCGCGGTAATTGTGCCCTTGGGCCGACTTGCCCCTTGATCAAACGCCCTGCCTTGGCCACCCCTACGCTTCGTTCGGCAGCGTGTTTTGTACCTCCAGCTCCGGCAGACTTTTTTATCAGTTTTATCAGACGAAATGAAGAAAATTACTAGCTTTTTCAAGCCAAACGATGGTGAGTAGTTGTTTTGAGTTGATAAAAGTTTTATATTTTGTCTTTCTCCTTTCGAATCAATGAAATATTCGATGGCAAGAAGAATTACATTACTTGAACAGTGACCGGCCATAGTTAGAATTTTTTCAGATCACTTCAGTGTAGTATTTTCTATACTAAAATTGTAATCGCGTCTTTTCTTGCATTGAATCTGAACTGAACGTGTATGTTGGTCGTTTATTAGAATTATATGGGACTTCGTCAAAGTCTGTAAGCTCTGCAGAAAAGACGACAACTACTTGCAGTGAAAATGGTGTGTTTGAGTTTGACCGGTAAACATTTCAATATATTGTTAAAAGTTTCATTTTTTTGGAAGTGCGAGTTGTTGACAAATACTGGATAAAGTATGCAAAGTCACGCGACAGAAACAAATCAAATACTATGATTTTATTCCTTTTTTCGATTTTTAATATGAAAAAATTATTTTCAATTGTCAACCCTCCCACATTCACCTTGCTCCGCGGTCCCTGAAAAACACTTGAAGTCAAAGCATGGATGACCGTGTTTCTCTGCTGTATTGGGCGTGAATATTATCAGGATTATACCTAAAAAAGTTCATGATTGGAAACAAGAAAGTCGCACTTTGGACGCGGAAGCAATGAGATCGTGCACCGTAGCACCGGAGCAAATTTGGGTGCGTGGACTTTGCCCCAGTTCTTTTGCACAATAACGAGCCACTTTACAAATAACATCCGGTGGGTCGAAACTTAAAGGAGCTGTATCGCGAAATTTATCAAAATTCAAACTGTGGGAACTGCCTCCAATTTGAGGGAAACATAAATAACCGCTCGAAACATCAAAAGGTGGCCTAAATAACATAGCAAATACGAACGTGGATGACTAACTTGAAGAAGATTAAACTAGACGGATTGCAATTGCTATGTTTGAAAACTCGTTAGCCTAACAGTTTTTCAAAGTATATTCTTTTTGTGTGTAGCGTTTGCTATATTGCTTGGGAGACGTATATGATATGTTTGACAGGAAGCAGTGTTTTGTCATTTGTATAAAGGACGGAATTCAGTTGTACAGTCGCTAACTTTAAGTTCCTGTGCGAATAAGGAGGTGTTATTGACAAAATAAACAAAATGAACAAGTCAGCCGTGACACAGCCGCTTTAGTTTTTTTCAAGACTGCCCAATCTATTTCGGGGGGAGAAGATTTGGTGTTCTTTTCCATCGGTCTTATCTTATAATAAATTTGTCAAATTTTGAATTAAGTCTGATAATTCTACAAAACGCTGAGTCTTGACTTTGTTACTCGAGGTTGCAATTTTCTACAATAAAGCTTTTCGCTTATGGTTTTCTTTGCAATCATTGGGTCGGCGAACACAGCTCCCTATCAATGTTAAAAAAATAATAAAGCTAAAGTTGAACGCTTTTCAAAAATGTAAAATTATCGCACCGGCGAGAAATGTTTAATTTATCACAACTGGAATACATAGACATTAGTGCTTTTGCCGCTAGAACTTACCGATTTTCTGTTATTCAGCTGTCTTCGTTTGACAAGAAGGAGAGTTTCTTCTGAGTTTTCAATTTAGTTAAAGACGAAACAGTTTTAAAATACTTTTAGTGCGGTAGTTTGTTTAAAATTTATCTTTGACGTCACATCCTGTCCTATGACATGAGACATGAATCAGGGCACAGTTTGATCGGTATAGAGCTGCAGGTAAACTTAAACCCAGTCATGAATCATTAGCAATTTCAGTCTGAAAAACTGCATGACCAAGAGAAGAAAATCAAGTAGCATTTCCATAAGTGGAATAATATGTACTAAGACACGTACATTTCGAGTGGCTTTAATTAATGCATGACGACTCCCAGTCTACTGTCTCTATTTCAAATAATATACTGAATAAAATATTTATGAATTAAACTGAAGTAACTATCATTTAAGAGTCTTTTTTTTTTCTTTTCTGTACCTTTTAAAACCGGGTGACATTTTTGTTAAAGGAGTAAGGCGATTGATTCATTTTTTTCGTCACAGAGAAATGAGTGCATCTGTGTTTAAAAGCAGTTTTAGATTATGTTATGGTTAATGAGAGCTTTTAATAGAAAACTTTGGTCTTCTTTGGTTAAAACCGCTTTTGTTATCTTGTCTTCGTGTGAACCACTGCAAAACGGATAAAATCTATATTAACGTCAACAAGGTTATGAGAACTACTGTACCTAATAAATATTGAATGATATTCAATATTCAATGATATTGACCTTTGAAATAGACCAATCAGAAGCAAGCGCGGGAATGTAGGTTGTTCTTCCTTCGTACCATTGTTTAATTACATGTGTTGTCAACGCGATCTTTAAAAAAAGTAATCAAGTTTCATCGCGAAACTCCAGCATGGCGTTGCTGGATGTTGGACCTTTTCTAGAGGGTGTCTCTAATCTTCAAGGAAAACTCGAAGCTACGATGACAAAAAATAGACTACTACTTGAGGCTGTAGAGAGCTCACAATCGAAATACACAGATATCGATAAAGTGTACCCTCTTCTCCAAAGCTTAAAGGGAAGACTTGTGGCATCACAGGCTCCGAACGAATCTTTGTCGACAGAGCTCGTAAAATTCAAATTAGAAATGGAATCATTTGTAGATGAAGTATTTAATAGTCATGATAGCTTGAGTAAAATAAGAAGGAATTCCCTGCTTCATGCGAAAGAACTAGAAGGTGATCGAGATAAACTTTGGTATGAGAAAGGAGAATTGGCAGCGGAGCGGAGGAGGTTGGATTTAGAGCGCGAAGAATTGAATGCCCTGCGCACGGTGATGAAGAAAACCCCTCTGGATAAAGAAAAAGCAACGTTAAAAGTTAACGAAGGTACTAATCATTCAGGTCTACAGGGTACTGTGGACCATAAAGAACAAGAAGAAGAAAATAATGAAAACAGTTCCTTAAAGACTTCACTAATTGGTAAGTGTGGCTATAAATATTTATAAACTTGAAACTACAGTATCACTTTAATTTGGTAGTTCGGATAGTGATTACATTAATTTTGGCATGATTTGGTGTCATAGCTAAACAGCTGCATCCTAGCTGTGTCCTTATAGAGAAACACTTTCTACAAAACGTATTTTCCTCGAAGGATGAACGGGCTCGGTAGGGGAGAGAGGAATGGAAAGAGAAGATGTAAGGAACATTAGCTGTCAAATGGAATCGCTTACGGTTGTGAGATTTTGTACCACGTTTTTGGCGAGCTCTTTCATGACAGGTTCATAACCTACACTACTATTTCACTCCTGACTTGCCCCCAGTCGTTTGTCACAACCCGGCCTCTCCCTAGAGAGTAGTGGCGTACGGGCTGTGATGGGAAGGAGGAAAGTGAGGGACAGAAAACCCCTGCTTCCGCCGTGCGCGTTATGCGAAGACGAGTAAGGACGAGTCAGCTTAAGAAGTCTTGGTTAGCTCCGCTAACCTGGGGCTTTCCCACAAAAAATGTCGGCGGAGGACTAAAGAAGAAATCTATCACTAGGAAGCTGCGGGCAACGGGACATTGTTCTAAGATCCTTGAGGCGAGATGTACTATCGGGAAAACTAAAAAAAAAAAAAAGAACACCAAAAAACGGAAATGGCAAACTGAGAACTGCGGTTTTCGTCGGATTTTTTTTTGCCCTTGGTTAGAAAAGGAGCCATGGAAAAGTGCCGTTAAATGATTATAGGGTAGGTTCCTTGGACCTTCCCACGATGCGCAAAGTTATGCGCAGTGGCGAAAGGAGGCAACTGTTGTCGTTGTCATCGTAACTCTTGCAGCCTCTGGTGTGTTGGTTGTTAGAATTGATTTCATTTTGTAATGTTTATTTATAGGATCCTGTGATGCAAAATGTCCGACAGAACATGAAACAAGTTTAGATTATGGAGAAAGAAATAATGGTAAAGAACAAGAGTGCGTTACTGTGGTTACTGTGACTCATGTTGAGTGCCAAACGGAACCTGGATCCTGTGATGCTGAAAGTCAGACAGAACATGGGACAAGTTTAGAAAGTTATCGAGATAGAAATTATGAAAAAGAACGGGAGTCCGTTGCTGTGACTCATGTTGAATGCCAAACGAAACCTATTGGAAATTTACGGGTAGCTGATCATGAATCGCAGATTAAGAAAGAGGAAGAGAGTATTGAAAAGTGTCATAAGGTGAGACTAAATTTGATACATCGAAAGAACCTCAAAAGACAAGTAGCTGGCAATATCACTCTTTAACAGGCCAGGTAAATTTCTTTGAAAGGCGAAACGTCAGTCTTAAAAGCCAGTTATGTTCTCAGCAAATAAAACACGAGTCATCTAACCCAAGAATTAAATCTAAGTCATTTATATATTTCCATAGCGTGCACCGTAAGTTTTAGGGAGTTATTATAGCTTCAAAAATGGAGTAAAAATTTTAGGAACAGGATAACCCCTTTTTGGGGGTTATTTTAACTCCTAATTTAACTCCGAATTTGGGGTCATATTTACACCTGAAAAAGAGTTCTTTTTACTCCCAGTCTGGAGTTAAAATAACTCCGAAATGGGGTTAGTTTTACTCCTTACATGGGTTGTTTTTGCTCTTTTTGGAGTTAATTTAACTCTGAAAGTGGAGTAAAAATTTTAGGTACAGGATAACTCCTTTTTTGGGGTATTTTAACTTCTCAATATCTGAGGTCACTTTTACGCCTGAAAAAGAGTTCTTTAAACTCCTTTTTGGAGTTAAAATAACTCGCCAAAAAATAACTCCACTGTAAGGAGTTAAATTAGCCCCACTAGAGGAGTTATTATAACTCCTTGAAAATTACTGTGTGGATACTTTTACGTCCCATTTGAGTTCAGTGATGAATGAAGGATGAGGAAAAAGCTATTTTCAAACATTTGTTTCTCAAGTCATTTCGAGAGATTGATGATGATGAACACACAATGGTCACCAGGCATCGTCTGTTGTCAAGCAGATCACACGTAAGTTGTTTCAGGACAGGAGTCTCTGGACCACGACATCGAGTTTTCTCTGCTCCAGTATCAAGAGCAAGGGCCAAACTTCTGGCAAAACAGGAACACGCTCTGAAAAATTATAAGGTAATTGTTGATATCTAAATTTAAAAGAAACGCCTCAGACGTTTGACCGGAGTAATGCCGTGGATAAAATCTAGAAAAACTTTGTATAGACATGGAGGAATGGTCAAAAATCTAATATCGATGACGATGCTTTTTAGACACCGTTAACACGGGTTCTGACAAATTTCTGAATGGACAAATTTTACACCTGTGCGACTCGTTGACACGGAACCGTGAAAATTCTGTAAAAGACTGCAGTGTTGTTTGTTGTCCTGTGTAAACGAAAGGCGGATCCGTGCAAGTTTCTTTGTCCGTTGAAAAATTTGTCCCGGCCCTTGTTTACGGGGTCTTGATCAGATTAGTTAACTAGCGGCACTGCAAAAATAATTTTGTGTGTCTGTCAACTTTATAGGCCCTCGTAGATGAGCTTTGCAGGACGCAGGAAGAGAATCAATCTCTCAAGCTCGAAAGCAGTACACTGGCAAAGAGAGCTAATGAAATATATTCTGAGCTGTTTCACATTAAGGTAAATTGTCTTATACATTGACTGCATTTTTTTTCCACTGCCAGAATTAAGAGTCTTTTTACTTGTGGAGAAGGGTGAAAGGAGGAAAATAGGAGATCTGTGCTCGTAACAGGGTATCGTGCAGGTTAGCACGCTTCGCGCGCGCAAGACTCTTACGTCACGCTTTACAGATTTCTTTTCTGATTTTGAGACAAAAACCGACTGTTTTGCAATCTAGCGACAGGGCACCTTAAGTTATAGAGCACAGCCTTGGCTTTGTCCTCCTCTAGGCAGTAAGCTTGCTTTTCCCTCCTTTGCTGACGCAGTATCTTTTTTCTGCTTGTGCAGTCCAACCTGACCAGCAAGTGATTCGAAGTTGCAGCCAATAAAAATCACACAAGTTTTCGGGATGGGCACGGGATACTGGAAACTTAAAACACAAGGCAATTTTTGAAAAGAAAACTACGAAAGGAATGCGCTACCGAATTTATGACGCTAGATGACTACGTCATCCCGCGTCATTAATGTAGACGTAGATGTTACCGCAAACCGTGCCACAAAGCGCCTAAAACTTAACATCAAAGGAGGTTTTTGAAAGAGTGCGACATGAATTTTCGTTTGGAACATTCCTATTGGGAAATCAGGGTAACCTTTTCAGAAGTTCCATTGCTCCTGAAAAGTTTCCTCTGTAACGACCCGAAAAGTGGTGTTTCATGCAACAACTCCCTGTGTCTCTGCCTATAGAAGCGACTAACAGTAAGCATAGCTGACAGAGATGAACTGCAAACGAAACTACGGAAGTGTAAAGAACAGGTATGGTTGATTATAAGCGTTTATACACTTTCAAATATTAACAACTGTTTCTTTTTCGGATAAATTTAGGTTTCTGGGAATTTGCCCACCTACCCCGCCCCTAAGCCAACATTTTGCCCTGAGTGACAAGTAAGTGATAATGTTGGTTTAGGGGAGGGGTAGGTGGGCAATTTCCCAGAAACCTGAATTGATCCTCTTTTTCATATTGCAGTCTATCTAATAAGCCCCTCCTCTCTCTTAATACACCCCTTTCCAATGAGTATTCTACCGCCCCTTCTTATAGATTATTTTCACTGTCACGCAACAAAAAAATAAATTGGAAACCGCCTTGTGGAAGAAACCACGAAAATGAAATGTTATAAAAGACTAATATAAGTCCGTCTGCGAAACAGGGCCGAAATCCTTGTTCTGGCCCCCACGAGGATTTCAGTACGCGCCATGATTGTCCTGTTGAAAAAGCCATTATCGATTTACCAATCAAGATGAAAGGAAATTCGAAATGATATTCCGGTAATTCGTTGAGTTCGTTGGGGGCCGAAAACATGGATATTGGCGCCGCTTTGAAGACGTTTCTAGTTCATGCTAGTTAGATTAGGTCTGCGACGCAGGCTGTGCTTTACGAAGAATATGTATCCAGTGTAGGATCCAGGGGAGGGGTCCGGGGGGCAGCCCCCCCCCTCCTATTTTTAGACCAAACTGAGGCCCGAAGCATCGACAAAAAATTTTTTTGGAGACCGAGCCCCCCTATCTAAGGGTCTGGATGACCGCCCCCCCCCCCGCCCCCCCCTCTTATCTGAAGGTCTAGATACACTACTGGTACCGCAGCATATTTCACATTCAATTTTCAGTAGCTTTTGATTGTTGGGCTCCTCTCTTGTTTTCCTATGAAACCGGACGACAGCTGTATAATAATCCACCGGCCGTTTCTAACAATCCCCCCTCAAAAATGGTTGGAAAATATAATTCCCTTCCACCCCACGGGGTCGAGACTTACCAAAGAGTTTGCAGCACTTTTGAGAATTATCACCCTCAGGACAAGCAGGCAAATAGTAATGTATCAAGCATGAGACGCAGTGTTTCATCACCAGTTCTCAAACTCATTAATAATTCATTAAGAAAATACAAAGGAAATTAATGTTTAATGAGTGTTTGGAAATCGGATGAAACACTGCTTAGTATTTGCATCCTTAATTTCTCCTTCAAAAATGATTTTGTTTGAGAAGAAATATCAAACATTCGACACAGTGTTTCATCACCAGATGAAACACCTCGAAGTTCGTCAAAAATACTCCGCTGCGCGTCGTATTTTCAACTCTCTTCTCGGTGTTTCATCTGGTGATGAAACACTGCATCTCATGTTTGATATATTACGTGAAAAACTGAGAAGAGAGTCGAAAATACGAGGCGCAGCGGAGTAGTTTTGAGGAACTTCGAGGTGTTTCATCTGGTGATGAAACACTGCGTCTCATGCTTGATATTACTTTTCAGACAAAATGATTTTAGAAGGAGAAATTCAGGATGCAAAAATGAGCAGTTTTTCACCTGATTTGCAAACACTCATTAAACATCAATTTCCTTTGTATTTTCTTTACGAATTATTAATGACTTTGGGAAAGTAAAAAGAAAAAGTCGTTGTATTCGACAACTCAATCAGTGGAAAATTAGTTATTTCAAGAGCAGTACACCATTACCCACCCTCTCTTGAATTGTTTGCATTTGACTTCAGATTCAAAGACTGGAAGACACATTGAGGAAACAAGCTTGTGGTTTAGTTCACAATAAAAAACAGCAACGGCAGGATGAAGAAGAAATCAGGTGGAGTCAGGTATGTAAAGAAGTCAGAGATGGCCTTCACGGCTACATCTGGACGACATTTCGTTTTGCTGGGTTTGTATTTGATGCTCAGCCCTGGCGGAACAAAAATTCATTATGCAAGCGTTTCTTGACTTCAGAATTGCTTTGTGTTGCCTTGAAGTAGGGAAGTCTAGTTATTATATTCACGGAAGGAGCAAACAGATGTGATATAAAAGGGAAATAATCCAAGGCAGTTTTGGATTCTGGATTCCATGCCATGGATTCCCGATTCCAGGTACTGGATCCAGTCTTTGTCAGTGGAACTTTTTTTTTTTTTTTTTTTTAATTTTTTAAAGAAAAAAAAACACAAAAAAAAAAAAAAAATTACACAGAATAAATAAAGAAATAAAAAAAAAAAAAAAAAAAAAAAAGAGAAAAAAAAAAAAAAAAAATAAAGAATATAACACATAAAAAGAAAAATAAAAAAAAAAAGAAAAAAACTTTTTTGTTGTGTTGTTTTTAAGTAGGGAAATCTAATTAATAAAGTTATGGTAGTAGGATACATGTTTTTTTTTAAATTTGTTTATTCAAAGAGAGTTTTGGATTTTAGATTTAAAGTAAAGGAAACCCGAATAAAGGTAATGGAAAAAATCTTTGTCAGTGGAACTTTTTTTTTTTTTTTTTTTAATTATTGCAAGTAAAACACACACAGAAAAGAAACAAAAATTACAAAGAAAAAATAAAGTAATAAAAAGAAAAAAGTAACAAATAAAGTGACAAAAAAAAAAAACAAATAGCGAATTTACACACTTACATGGCAATATACTTACAAATAGTAAAATACGTTACAGCAGTGCTAATTCCTGTCAGTGGAACTTGGATTCTCTTTAAATTCCAAGCGTTAGTGGGATTCCGGATTCCTCGAGCTGTAGTCCGGATTCCAAAGCACAGGATTCCAGATTTCCCGGATTCCGGAATCCGAATTCCACTACATGAGGCGAGGGAGAGAAAAAGTTGAAATTAAGATGGACTTAAAACGTCCTCGCCACTAAGTTTGCTGTTTTCTGAGACATCAATTCTTTACGCTGATCTTCGTTAATTTTTTATGACAGATTTTTGCTGTACCACTTAATGTTCCATCCAGCCGAAGAAGGAATTTTCCCCCATGACAGAATAATTGCAAAGGGATGCTGGAAAAATTGATGACATATTACATTCAACCGCAATCAGATCTGGAAATTACTTTTCACTATTTGCATACGCTGTTAATGGCTTTCACTCGGTGGCTTCATTATTCCGCACAACCAACGAGTCTCGCGTCACGTGGTCCGTTCGTCTCGGATACGTCACCAAAATGCATTGACCGAGAAGGCCTGGGAAGACGCCGTACAGGGACTAGGAAAAGTTAGAATCACCTCACTTATATCTCTCTCAGGCGTTGTCAAGAATGTTAATAAAATGTTAATTTAAATGGCAACTAACATCAACACAGGCAGTATTTATTATGTGTATTTGTTGGCGTATGTTTGTTTGCGAAGGAACGACAGCCACTGGCGGCGCTATTACCAGACTGTATATTCCTTTTTCCGAGGAACTGTAACTACTCGTGTCCTTTTTTCTTTTCTGCTATTTCTTGGTTTATAAATTGTAACGACCTTTCTTCTTCCTCTTTGTGAGTCATTCCCTAATTAGGAAAGCAGGCCGTGCCTGACGACATATTGGAAGAAAATATGTTCTCATTCTCTTTTCTTATTGTTTCCTTACAAAAAAAATTGCAGGTTAGGTGTTTTAGATCCATCAGGACCCGGCACCTTTGGTTTGCACGCTGGCCCTTGCTATTTATTTACAAAATATTGATTTAGCGGCCTCGCTTCACCGCGGCAAGCGATACATTTTTACCTGACCTTAAGAGGCAAACTGTTGTAATTTTATGATATTTGGTGACGAAACAATGAAACACAGAGAAGGGGCAGGAGTACTTATTTGTCCGTTACTAGTAGCCGTGATTAGCCTGCGAACGCAGACGTATTTGCAATTCGGGTGGAGAGAAGCAACGACCCAAAATACGTCTGCGTTTGCAGGCTAAGCCGTGATCGCCCCCTGTTTCGTTTGTACCCTAGGTTTATGACAGCCATCACACAGCGCATCATTTCTAAGGTAAAATAGCCTGTTCAGGGGCACCAAACGACGGTTTCCTCCTAAATGCATCGAAAAGACTTTTTAAACTATCCAGAGTACTTTTAGATCTCTAGAAATGCATTCCGGAGCTCGTATATCGAAATTACAAGGGCTTCGGAGAATGATTTTCCCGAAAATTTTAGACGCGATTCAAAGATTTTCGAAGGTAAGAATTTTTCTGATTCCTCTCTCCATCGCATTCTCGAATCAGAAAATTTTAGGTTTCCTTTTTCTTCGAAAAATAGCTTAACATGAGGAGTGAAATGCGAAAACTTAAATTTAAGAAAATTGTAGGGAATTAATTTAAAAAGCTTCGAAAACTGTACATGAATGGATTGGTTATCTAGAATTTTTTAGTTCTTCCTCAAGCTATAAATAATTCTAGGCAAGTTTTTTCTCCTCCGAACAGATATTTTAGAGAAAACAGTCGTTGCTGTGTGTGACGCTGCCTGCTCCAGGCGTTCAGATAGTTGTATCGGGACGGAGTAAAATGAGGCCTGGCAAAAACATATTTCTGAACGCCTGGAACAGACCATTGGTAAAAATTCAATGCCCAGAACTGGGCTTACAAAGCAAGTGTATTATTCCCTTGGTCCCCAGTATAGACGAATTGCGTTGGTCATTTCGCGTCCTGCAAAGGTAAGCAGGTTGAGCCACAGGCAGACCACCCTCTGTTAGTGGGGGCTGTTGTTGATTGAAATCTGAGCAATGATCTTTTGTTAGTAAAAGAAGAAATACATATGAACAATACGGTGGCTATAATTTGTTCCAAAATGCAGAATTTAAAGCAAATGTTTCAATAAAAGTTTGAAGAAAATGTTAACTGAGTCATGTGTCATGTTTTTTTCGCCGTCCCGTGCTGTTTTAAGCGCTATTTTGCGAGATGAATATTTGACCTCGACGGTTACGAAAAAACATGACAAAACTTTTAGAACAAATTATAGCCAGCGTATTGTTCATATGTATTTCTATCTATAAACAACAAAAGATAGTTGCTTAGATTTTAATCAACAACGGCCCCCACTAACAGAGGGTGGTCTGCCTGTGGTTGAGCCAATCTCTTTTCCCAGAGCCTTTCTGAAGGACCCTGGGAACTTGGTGGGTTGGAGAAAAAGAGAGAAGGCCCTGGGGACAACTTATCCGCTGATGAAGATAACTACTGGCTCAAATCGGAAATGGAGTCCCACGGCTGTCTCACAGCTGGTAATGTTCTTTACAATTTCGCACAGTTTGAGATTGTCGTATTGTTGACATCCAATAAGGTGCTTTTCCTTTTTTAATATACATTTGCATTCGTATTATGATATGTTACGTTTACAAAGCAAAATACTGTTGGAAGATTCCTACCGGTTGAGTGAGTTGTGGCCGTGCCACTCAGTGACCCCTCTCCGATCCTCCTAGGCCTTCGATTTTGCTTGGTAGATCGCGTTTTTATCGATCGAAGGTTTTGCTGTCTGAAAAGTCCGTGCATGGTGCCCAGTTATACAAGTATGTCTCGAGTTCTCGTGACAGGTGCATCAGGTTTCCTTGCGTCTCATGTTGTTCAACAATTGCTCGAAAACGGAGAGTATATGGTTCGTGGAACAGTCAGAAGCTTGGCCAACGAAAAGAAAGTAGCACCTCTGCGAAAACTGAAGCCTGAATCTGCCAAATATGATTTAGAACTAGTCGAAGCTGACCTTATGGACAAGGAATCCTGGATGGAGTAAGTATTTATATGTGGTGGACAAAGATCTTGGTTCCTGTATTGTAAATAAAACAGGCCTTAATATGCATTTTGATAAAATAAGTACATCTTTCTTGTCACTTGATCATGTCAGCGTGGAACATTTTCGTGACATTTTCAACTTCATAGTTATTGTCATTACGTAATCATTTGACATTTAAAATAAACATAATACGTAAGAATACGATTATGTAATCGTAAAGATTGACTACCCCCAGAGAAGGAAAATATCCCTGCAAATTACCATAGAAGACTAATCATTAAAGATAACTTATCTAATTTAAATTCTGAGCAGTTGGTCAACAGCTCTTGTGCAACCTTTTCAAGGGAAGTGCCCTGTTAGATGCACAGAACTGCTCTTACATCACCCATGTAAAATTTCAGGACCTGAACAATCGATGAAAATCAATGATCGGAAAATCAATCAATGACAATCAATTAATTACTGTTGATTAGCATCGATTGGCGTCGGCCAATCGATGATCAGTCGATAATCACACTTAAATGGTCGTGAACTTCATCAATTGCCATCGATTGGCACCAGAAGCATATAACCCTGCTTTTGTTGGCACTAAATTCATGTTTCCATATCTTCAGGTATCGCGGGAGTGTATGCAGATCGTATATTATTTTTAAACCTTAGTAGCAAAGTTTGAGAATTGTTCATCGATGTGGCTCCATGAAAAACAGCACAAATAATTAAGACAATTAACATATCTCCTTGTCAGTAGTACAAACTTGATCGATTTGGCTTCGAGTTCATTTTATTGCAAAGATTCAACTGACCTGGGATGCAGTCATCGTTCAAACACCATTTTAAAAGCTTATTATTTCTTTTTCTTCTTCTTTCTTTATATGTCTGTGCAGACGCTCAAGTCTACCTCGATCTTCCATGTGGAATTATTATGTTAATAAATTGATCGATTCCCATCGATTATTAATAATTGATAACTTTCCTGCTTCCAATTTCATTATGGTTGGGGGGGAGGGGGTTTGGCAGTTGGTGGATTGATGATAGTAAGTTGCTCTAAAGGATTAAATTTCCAGATAAATTTTTAGATTTTTTGCTGCTGACAGGTTGCTTTAAAATTAAGTATCCTTTTTTCTTATTGGAAGAGCTGTTAAAGACTGCACCTACGTGATCCATGTGGCGTCACCCTTCCCAAATGAAAATCCCAGAGATGAAATGGAGGTGATAAGACCTGCGGTAGAGGGAACGAAAAATGTGCTTGAAGCTTGTGCAAAGACTAAGGGGGCAGTGAAAAGAGTTGTACTGACAAGTTCTGGTGCTACAATTTATGGTAAGAGCTGGTTTCACACATCACATTCATCCAGCACACCTGCAGGGTGTTAAAGAAGTTATGTGCAATGTGTGATCTTAGAAAAAGTAAGAATGTGACATAAAAGAACTGTTGCTGTCATTTGTGAATTTACAGCCTTGCATGTGTAGTCTCCTTATTTTGATGCTCACAATTCATTATTTTCTGAAACAAGGTTAATTTGTGAAAGCCAAGTTCAATAATTAACAATTATTCCTCAAGCCAAAATGGGCTCTGAGTCAATAGCCCATGAGGCTGAAGGCCAAAATAATGGGCTATTGACTCAGAGGCCATGAGGGCGAGAGGAATAATATTATTGTTTTACTAAAATCCAACTAGTTGGTCAAAAATATTGAATAAAATAAACAACTTAAAGCAAGACTTTAACCTTTTTTTGCCGCCAAAAATCCGGCGCTTTTCGCTACTAGTGGGCTATAACATATAGCCCAGTAGTAGCTCAACCAATCAGAATGCAGCATTGATAATAGACCACTAGTTGGATTTTACTAAAATATGTAATAAGAAAGCCATACATTTACAAATGGATGAGTAAAGCTTTGTAGACAGTGCATTCTTAAGGACTTCAGGCTATCAACTGACTAAATGCAACACAAACTGATATCATCGATTACTTGTCATTTTCTTCAAACTTTTAATATGTAGATAGGTCACCAGGCTCTTGATTTCACTGCTTGAATTAAATAGGTATGTTCTAGTAGGCTGTATGGTCAAGGTCAGATCTGATTTAGTGTGGCACATATTTGAAAGCAGTATGCTCCAGTAAAGTATTTGAGTGAGAATGGTTGAAAAGTAATAGTTACTTTTTTTTTCAATCTACAGCTGGAAGAATGAGTGAAAATAAAGTCTTTACAGAGGAAGACTGGGCCATAGAAGAGAGGAGTAACCCTTACGAGAAAAGCAAGATCCGTGCAGAGAGAGCAGCGTGGGACCTAGTTAAAAATTTACCAGGTTGGGAGTGCTTATTATCATAGGGTACATGTTAAGCCTGTGGTACTTTTTCCCTCTCACCCCGAAAAGCATGTGTATTATCTTTTCAGTTGGCAAAGAAAAATCCTATCAGCAACTATGGAGATCAACTGAAGATTTTTTCCAACTGGCATTCATTAAACAGGGCTGTCTGCATAGGATGTTGAGACATGATAACCATTCACTGCTATCAACAGTCCTGTTCAGAGCTATTCAACCTGTAGTTATGCCTCTTCACCCAGTTTATTCCAAACCCTGGAACCAAGAGGGACGGGAATTCCTAGAAAACTTAAGAGGGCTGTGCTGCATGCAAGCTATTACAGGCATCGCAGAATAACAAGTAGAGACACGTGTATGCATTCAAAAGCCTTTATGAGTTCTGATCCTTCATACCCAGTTGATTGGTAAAATTAGTAGCCACTGGCTACTAGCGTGGTTGTTGACTTGGTTATTGAATAATCATTTTTGTAGATGATGAGCGGTTTGAATTGTGTACCATCACTCCTGGTTTTATTCTTGGTCCTGTACTCCAGGGTTCAACATGCACAAGTATGGAGGTAATATTGAAATCACGGTAGTTGTGGTGGCAGTCCTAAATGATGTATCATGCTAGCATATGTGGGAATGCTATACTGTAAAGTGTCACTTTTAAAGTGGCCCCCCACCCCACCCCACCCCACCCCACCTCTACTTACAAGCCCATCTACCTGTAAACAAAAAATACATCCAATGATAAACCCCCCTTTACTTGTATTGAAATGAATTTGATTTATTATGATGTGTTATAGCTTGATTAAAAACCATAAAATGTAAAACGTATATTTTTGACTCTTACCGCTATAGCTTTGTTTTGAATCTCTTTTTCTGTTCTGGTTGTAAGCCCCCTTCGCTATAGGCCCCTCCATTTTCAAGTCATTGTAAAACCCCTTACGAGCATGTATAACCCCAGGGGTAATAAGGGGCCCTTTTTTATGGTATGTTTTTTCAGCCTATACTGTAACTGTAGTGTTCATACCAGACCGCGGCATCTTTTTCGAGAAGTGCCGCACTAAAATTAGCCCAAGGGGTCCAAAGGGTGCAAAGAAGGAAAAAAACAATACAAAATGTACGTAAGCATACGTACACATACGTACATTTGCTTATAGTATAAGTCAAAATTTAAATGGTTATGGCATCTTTAGAAAACACTATCATTATCTAAGACTGAAACCTCTGAAAACTTTGTGACCCCCTTTTATCCTCTCTGGGTCCTGTGGACCCCAGTGTATGAAATCCTGGTAAGAACACTGTCACTGATACCATCACATTATCATAGACATGGTATAGAATGCACTTATTACTTAGTTGCCCGCTAGTACTCTCTGAATACCAATTTAACAAAGTACAAACATTAACCATAAAGGACTGCAAAGGACCGCAAACGAATATGCCGAAGAACGTAGGACCTGATCAGCAAAAATAATAATGTAGACATATTAAATTCTGCAAGCAGAATACTGCAATGCTGTTTCGCCCTTTTTTTGTTGCGCCATACTGACGAGCCCCAAAAAGGGCAAAACAGCTGTCTATGGCTACAATCCCGCTCTGTTTTGAGTTCTTTCGGTGTCGTGTTGATGTCTTGCAGAGTTAATTTTCACGTAGTACGATCAGCATTGTAGTATTCTGCGTGCAGAATTTAATATGTCTACCAATTTAACACTTCACTTAAAGCTAAGTTACTTTTGTAAGGGCCAACGATTAGAAAATAGGGGTTTGAATCCCAGTGGGTATAGTGGACAAATGTTTGTTCAACATTTCGAAATAATTATAAAGCAAATTAAGGCTAATGACTTTACACTTAGGGGAGTAAATAATAACAGTTTTTGCCAGACGTGACCTGGCGTCTTCAGGAATAGTGTCATTACAGTTCAGCACAAATACATTCAAAAGCTCTTGTATCGTCACTTACTATCCAACAAAACTGAAATTTTGTGATGTATATGTGCTATTTCAGGGTGGTACTTAAGGTAAAAACGTTTTTTGTTAGGGTGTTTCTCGTTTTGTAAAGTAACATATTCAGTTTGCATTTTGTTTAGTTTCATAGACGTTTGCTTCAAAGAGAAATGCCCATGGTACCAAGACTGTCCTTTCCCATGTGTGATGTCAGAGATGTCGCTAGAGCACACATTAGTGCTATGAAGTCACCAAAGGCTGCTGGTTAGGGACATTCTATATTTCTAATCTTTGTTCAGATAAAACAGTAGCGATCACTACAGCACACCTCTGTAGAAGAGGCTTAGATTTGTTGGAAGCAATCATAATGTTCAGTGCATTTTGGAAATCTAAGTTGCAGATGGATTGCACTCATGATTTAGGCCCGAAATACTACCTCAATGACATTAAGTTGTATTATACATTATCCTAGTCTCTCTTCTTAATCGTACTGTTATTTACTTACTTTGCTTCACTGTGTTATTTCATTCTATCCATTGTATTGTAAGCTAGTCCATTCACTTTTATGAACCATGTAATGCATTGAATTTGTCTTTCCTCCCCCCGCCTTGATTAGAACCTTAGTTATTTGCTGGTCTGAAAATTGTGTAATTGTTAACAGTTGAGTTTCAATAAAATTAGTCGATTTTTTGGTTTTGACATTTAAAAAACATTGAAATCCCCTGAGTCCTCGTATTATTTTATATTTGTACTTACAGGTAACAGATACATTACAGTTACGGAGACGATGTGGATACCTGAACTAGCCAAAATTCTGGACGAGGAGTTCCGTCCACTTGGTAATAAACTTTGTATATTTACTAAATCTCGTAGATTCTAAAAAGGTGCGAGCAAGCTGAGCCCCTCCCATTTCGGAACCTCCAGGGCAAAGTAACCGGAACCTACAGGTAACAGATACATTACTGTTATGGAGACGATGTGGATACCTGAACTAGCCAAAATTCTGGACGAGGAGTTCCGTCCACTTGGTAATAAACTTTGTATATTTACTAAATCTCGTAGATTCTAAAAAGGTGCGAGCAAGCTGAGCCTCTCCCATTCCGGAACCTCACTCTCGCATCGCTTTACGGTCATTTCACCCCAAAGCCATTTCGTCTCGGTTACTTCGCCGCCTATTTTCGAGTCATTTAGCGCGCTACAAATACAATAGTCCTCGTCGTATAAGCCATGAACCAAAACAAGCGCGCTTCAAATATATTAACCGTTCTAAAATAGGGGGCAAAGTAACCGGGACGAAATTACCGTAGAGCGATGCAAGAGCAAGGTTCGGGAATGGGAGGAGCTCAGCTTGCTCGCACGTTCTCGCGCCGCTCGCGTGGCAGGCGCTCCAAAGAAGGACTAGAAGTATGCTTGCAGGCTGATTTGCCAAATAGTTAGCGAACATGTCGGGAAATGAATCTATTTTGCCTTGGTTTTGCTGTGTCCTTAAGTATCCCTTCATGACGCTAGTGTGGTTTAGAGTGGTTTTCGTTTGAGTGTCGTAAAACCAAAACCAAAGTAATTACTCTGGCCAATCACATAGGACACAGACAATACATTGAACCAATCAAAACTCGAAGTAATTACATGTGGCTGACGCAAAGCGCGGGAAAATGCATGCGAGCGCGTCACAATTGGCTTTGGTTTTACTTCTGATTGGATGAAAAGGTGGCGCGAATCTTTTAAGCCAATCGCATCGTGTAGAAAGTGCAAAACCAATTACTTTTCGACACTCAAATGAAAACCGCTCTATTGTAAACTTGAGAGAATTCTAGTGAATAAATTTTGCTTTCCTATCTATCTTTTAGGTTTTAACGTTCCAACGCGAGTTGCGCCCAAGTTTGTATTACGATGTTTGGCGTTATTTGATGGCTCAATAAAGATGATTTTACCTCAGATAGGCCAAGAATCCCATTTTGACAACTCAAAGGTAATGTATGCCGTGAAATGGATAATTTTTGACAGTCGGTGTCTTGTTTTCCGCTGTTGTTAACCTAACAGGCGTGTTGTTGCATGATCCGAAGTTATCCAGTAAGATGGCCATGTGTCACACTAAACCACCGGATATCTTTTCGTACCGACATGCAAAGCTAGAGAGATTTTCGCATGACCTTGAAAAAGGGTTTCGGTGAGTGGTCGTTGTTTGTTTTATCAGCTAACGGATGAAAAGATCAAAACATGGCCTCTTCGTTTTCCCACCAAAGAAAACCCTAATATGGAGAAGGCATTTTTCGATTGGCCAATCGTGTCGTAGTATGACGTCAAAGCATTGTATCGGTTGATTTCTAGAAAGTTCGCAAAGAACGTCATGCCTGGCACCCCATTACAACCAACGGTATTTTCACTCTATTCTTTTCAGGCCAAGAAAGATTTGGAGTACAATCCAACTGATCTGAAGACCAGCATAACTGATATGGCGTACAGCTTGATCGATGCTGGTTTTGTCAAGAAGACAAGAATATACCAGAACCGTTAAATTTGATATTAATACTAACAATGCACGATTAAGCATATACTATGGGATGTATTGAAAATATTTGTTCTCCTCTCGAGAAAATTAAGGGAGGTTGACTGAAGACTGGTAGTTGGCGTAGAACTTCCAGTAGACTGCAAAACAGTCGGTTTTTTTCTCAAAATCAGTAAAGAAAACGGTAAAGCGTGGCGTAAGAGTCTTACGCGCGCGAAGCGCGCGAGTGAGGCTAGAGAAAAAAAACTTATTTTTATCGTCTCTCCCCAGTCTCGCTCTCTGTTTTCAGCCTCGTTCCCAACTTTTTGTTTGATCGCCGCGCGTGTGGGTACTTGAATACGCAAAAATACGGACTGTTTTGCAGGTCTAAACTTTTGGTGGATATTTGAATATTAAGCTAGAATAAAAATTCACTGAAACGATTGGCAATTGTTGTAGTTAATTATTTAAAAAAATATATTATTTGAAGCTCCTTACAAATATGATACATGACTTTTGTTTGTCTCTTATGGCAATTAATTGTTAATATTATTTAAGCTCGCTCCAGTCTAGCCTGCGTAGCAAGCGTTTTCGCGCGAGTTCGTCGAGAAAGTTTGGACGAGAGCAAAAAAAAAGAAAAAAAGAAAGAACGGGGGAGGGGGAGGGGAAATAGGGAAACCCCAGCACGCATGCTTCTCTCTCCTCCGGTAAAGAGAAAAGCCGTACTTCTTCTTCCCATGATGCACCTCATACCTCACTTGAAGCTGCGTTCTCGCTCATAGAGGCCGCGATCCTTTTGGTCAGCGGTAGAGGCCTCTGGTTTCCATAGCCATAGCCAGCGGACAAGACAGACTAAGATGGCCCGAACCTATTTTTGTGCGTGTTGGTTATACATTCATACATTCATTCGTTCATACATTCCCGGTTTTCTCGAAAGCACTATTATAAGGTAATTAACACTGTGGGCCTCGAAATGGGAGGCCGCGTCCGCTTAGGCTAAGTTATGACCCACAAACTTAGATCTCGTTACTCTACATTGGCTTCCGAAGAGCGCAAGTTATCAACATATGAAAGATTGAACATACTCGTTGCGCCCTTGATAGCCACGTTCAACTCTTCACATCGCGTGCACGTGTCACTTCTTGGTGTACCAAAACCAAGGTTAAATTCGCTGTTGAACACTCGCCTATGCGTATCCTGGCTTACTTGAGGCCGTAAAGCGGTCGGTACGTGGCTCCTCGTTTTGTTGTTTGGCTCTGTAGTAACAAAAAGAGAGAGAAGGGAGGGAGAAAGAAATTTTTTTAAGTTAGATTTATTGTTTTGTCTTTACAACGTCATTATGCTGGCTCTGATCCATAGTTGAATAAATCGTAATTATTGGCCAACCAGCGGTTGATTATTATCCATAAAAAGAAAGCTTTCTTTCTTAATGAATTTGATAATCAGCAATTTAATAGTATATGACGTCATTGTTTCGTTATCATTGGCATGATTCGAAACGAAAACATACGCAAATTGGTTTCGCCAAAATTTTATAAAAGTATCTTTTGGACTTACTCTGAAATAATTTGTTTTCTGTAGCAGACCTCCGGTTCGTTTTCTTCTAAGTACAGGTTGTAAATTCGTTGGCCTGATAAATCCCATTTTAGGAACTGCTTTCCTGGATTATCCTTCCTCGAATAATGTGATTCCTGTGCCGGGAAGGAATTAACGTGGTCCCTGATCTGGAAAAAAAATCGTGAAAACACCTATCATGTTTTAGGTAGGGCACAAAACTTAAACTATACCAAATCTTTTAACGAAAGGTGTCTCACATTTTTGTAGGAAACTTGTGATTGCTCAGTGATTACTTCAATAGTAAGAATATTAAATATGGTTGTTTTCACATTCTAGAGGTTAAGCAAAAAACGTTTCCTCTCACAGTGAAGCATACAGTTTGAAGGGAATAGAATTCGCAGACCGACTGAAGTTCAGGTTCGGGAATATTTGACGCTAAAAGTCATGGTATTTAATACCTTTTACTTTGTTTCTTCGGTCACTTTGGTTGGCCGATTCGAGTGCTTTCCCCTTCTGTCCCTCGCACCTTCTTTGCTTTGCATCGTCCTTATTCGCTGCATCGAAATTCCATGTAAACAGCAGAAGGCATTAAGGCAGACCTGAAAAATTTTTATGTAAAATACATTGAATCATCCTTTTAATTGCCTTAAAGGAGTGAGTAATCTTAATTTATGACCATGCATACTTCCTTTAAAAGACTAGTGTTTGTCATGATATACAATATATGATATGGTCCTGGTGATCATGATATAATAAGTCTAACAATTCTGCTTTGATAAAGGTGAAATGATCAGGCCGATCAGTTATGCCACGATAAACACTTTTCTGTGTAAATGAGACTAAAAAAAAGGTTTTATGAATGTTGTAAAATTCGACTTGTTTCAGAAACCTTAGAAAAGCCCATCCAAGGTGTTTTTTATTGATTTATCTGATTTAAACACACTTTTTTCTCTCCCGAATTGCTTTAATCACACTCCTTCTTGGAGCGCAATTATGACAATATAAAAATATAGAAATTTCTACACCTTTTATTCCTTATTGACAGTATATTTCTCGAGGTTACATTGACTCTCATCTGTTCTTTTATGTGTACAAAGTATTCGTACAAACACTTCCTCTTTTGTTCCTTCATCCCATCCGCCACTGCATTTCGTCCTTGAGGTCCAACCCTTTTAATTTCCCGGCTGTCAATTAATCCTTTGAGGTAAATGTTCTGAAGATTGTAATCTTCTAGTCCATTAAAACGCTCTATTATTTTCTTCCTCTCTTCTTTTTCCACCTTCTGAAAACTCTCCAGTTTGCAGCCACAGTCTGGACATAAGTTACATCAAGAGTTAACAGCAGGCTTAGCTTCTACGGCCAATTGTTTCCCTTTGCTTCTCTTTGTTTTGTTTTGCTTGTCCTACCAACCCACTTTTACGAAAGGGATAAGGATGGGAAGTAATGATTTTTCTAAATAGCCTAACAGACCAAAGTCACTCGTTACAAAAAGACTTGTGTTACATCTAACTCTAGCTGCTTGACATTTAAAACGGAAAATTTCCTCTAACACTAAGCCCATCCGAAAATAAATAAGCCCACAAAAAATAAAAGAGGCTTCCAGACAGTAAAAACACAGAGCTTGTTACCGAAATTTTACGACATATCAAGGGAATGGCTTACCAGGTATTTATGGCATACATTCCACTTCTCTGCACGTGGGCCAGAAACAAAAATAGAGTCTGATTTTGATTCTGGCCAGGACACCCATCTGAATAGCTAACGATCTGATGATCTGTGGAAAAATTGAAATAAAATCTATTACGAAAAGCACTTAAAACCAGGAACCTGACATAAATGGAAAATTACCTTGCTCCACTTCTGTTTTCTTTGAAATACGTATGAAGGAAGGAGGATACCGCGTTGGTGTCCCTTTTCGCGGTATCCTCACCAAACATGTACATGTGTCCTTGGTCCCCCACGCAGTCGTGTATGCCCATATCATATACATCCACATTTGTCTCATGTAGAAAACTTCACTATGATGTAGGTTCGGCGTACGAAGGTTTTGTTGAAAATCGAACTACAACAGCGTCTTTACTGTTGACATGATTACTTTCTCGAAGGGTTCTTGTCTTCCCCTTCCACTTTTCTTTTGCTGCCCTTTTAACTTCTTTCTTTGATTGGTAACCCTTGATCTGCTGCCTGGTTTTGATGCTCTCTTCGCTGGTTCTGTAGCTTCTCTTGTTCGGTTCTTAGAGCAGAGAAATAAACCCATAAATTATGTCTAAAAAAGATAATC